TAGTGGTTGTACAGACCACATTATTAATGATGAAAAATTATTTGATAAATGTAAATTACTTAAAGATCCCATTAATGTTTATTTAGGAGATAATAGGGTTGTAAAAGCTACTAAAATTGGAAATGTTTTAAGTTACTTTGATGCTTTTGGTAAAAAGAGTTTAGTAGATATGCAAAATGTTTTCTATGTTAAAGATATGAAATCAAATTTGATAAGTTATAGCAAAATAACAGAAAATAATAAGATTATTTCTCTAGGTAATATTTCAAAAGTTTTTGATAAACTTGGTAATATAACAGCAGTTGCTTTAAAAAATAATGGCTTATATATTATGAAAAGTAAATTAAAATCAGTTGAATTGCATGTAAATGTTGCAAATAAAGATATGAATAATATGAATCAAAAGGAAAAATGGCATCGTTTATTAGGTCATGTAAATTTTAAATATTTGAATATTTTATCTAAAGATCAGCTGTTGAATGGAATTCCTAATGAGTTTGAATCTGAATTTATGAAATGTAAGATTTGTATTGAAAGTAAAATGCATAATATTCCGTTTGTAAACAGTAGAAAAAAAGCTAAAGATATTTTAGAGATTGTACATACTGATGTTTGTGGGCCTTTTCGAACTACTGGGTTTAAAGGTGAAAATTATTTTGTTTCTTTCATTGATGATTATAGTAAGATTTCTAAAGTATATGCTATAAAATCAAAAGCAGAAGTATGTGATTGTTTGAATGAATATACGAATGAAAGTGAAAATTTGACTGGAAAGAAAATAAAGATTTTAAGATGTGATAATGGGAAAGAATATTTGAACAGTAAAGTCTACAGATTTGCAAAAGAAAGGGGTATAGTAATTGATAATTGTCCTACATATGTACATGAATTGAATGGGACTGCAGAACGGTTTAATCGAACTATAATGGATATGTCAAGATGTTTGTTGGCTGAAGCAGATATTCATAAAAAATATTGGCCTGAAATAGTTTGTGCTGCGGTTTATTTGAAAAATCGTACTTTATCTGATACAATTGAAAAGAAAACTCCATATGAAATATTTTTTGGACAGAAACCTGATGTTTCTAATTTGCGTTTGTATGGAAGTAAAGTTTTTGTACGAAGACCAGAACAGAAGAGAATCTCTAAATGGGATAAGAAAGCTGATATGGGAATTTTAATTGGTTATAGTAATGTTGGTTATCGTGTATTATTAAATGGCAGAGTCATTGTTGCTAGACACGTGGATATTGTTGAAGAAAACGTTAAGTGTATAGGTTTAGACTTTAACGAATCAGATAATGATAATAATGAAGAGTGTTACCCTGATAAAATTGATGAAAGCTCTGAAAATGACTCAATAGATGAAACTTTTGAAAGTACAAATGAAAGTATGGATGATAGTGTGAATAAAAATGAACCTGAGTTACCTAGATCTCACAGAGCCAAAAATCCTCCAAAGAAATTTGATGATTACTATGTATATAATAGTAGTATTTTTGTAAATATGTGTAGAACTGATATACCACATACATTTGAGGAGGCGATAAATTCTAATGAAAGTAAGTATTGGAAAACAGCTATGGACAAAGAAATTGATAGTTTAAATAAAAGTAAAACTTGGAAATTGGTTAAAAATGATACAAACAAAAATATTCTGGATGTTAAATGGGTTTATACTAAAAAGTCTGATAATACTTATAAAGCTAGATTGGTTGTACGAGGTTTTCAACAAACTGATGAAATTGATGATATTTATTCACCTGTGGCTAAAATGCAAACATTAAAGATTTTATTGTCATATTGTTGTCAAATGGGCCTAGTAATTGAACAAATGGATGTTGAAACAGCCTTTTTAAATGGTAAAGTAATTTCTGAAGTTTATATTAAACAACCTAAGGGTTACGAAGATGGAACAAGTAAAGTTTGTAAATTAGTTAAAGCTTTATATGGTTTAAAAGAAAGTCCAAGGGCATGGTATGAGTGCCTAGATACATTTTTGATAAATTTAGGTTTTGAAAGAAGTAATATTGATCCTTGTTTGTACGTTTATAAAATTGGAAATGATATTATTTACTTATTAATTTATGTCGATGATTTATTGATTTGTGGTAGAAATTTAAATGAAATTAAAAGGATTAAAATTTTATTATCAGAAAAATTTAAAATGAAAGATATTGGTGAAATTAAAGAATATCTTGGTATTACTGTTGATTATGATTCTAGTAAACATGAAATGAGATTGGATCAAAATAAATATATTGAATTATTAAGGAAAAAATATAATTTAGAAAAAGGTAAACTGTATAATACACCTATGGAAGTAAATTTAAAAATTGATAAATCTGATCATTGTGAAAGAAATATTAAATATAAAAATTTAATTGGTGCACTATTATACATAAGTTCGGCAACAAGGCCTGATATAAGTTTCAGCGTAAATTATCTGAGTAGATTTCAAAATTGCTATAATGAAACGCACTTTAAATATGCTGTACGAATTTTGAAATATTTATGCTTAACTAAAGATTTAAAATTGTTTTATAACAGAAATGAAAAAGTAAGTATTATTGATTGTTATGTGGATGCCGATTGGGCAGGTGATCATTTAGATAGAAAATCTACAACTGGTTTTGTAATAAGATTGTTTGGTAATGTAATTTATTGGAAATCTAGAAAACAAAAAAGCGTTACAAAAGCTTCAACTTTTGCAGAGTATGTAGCATTGTCAGAAGCAGTAAGTGAATTGATATTTGTAAAAGAATTGTTGAAAATATTTGATATTGAAATAATAAAGCCAATTGATGTTTATGAAGATAACACCGGTACAATTAGTATAGCTAATTATGGCAATTTTACAAAAAATTCTAAGCATGTTGAAATTCATTATCATTATGTAAATGATTATGTTAAAGCAAATGTTATAAATGTGGTTAAAGTAGATTCTGATGATAATATTGCAGATATTTTTACGAAGTCCTTGGGCCAAGATAAATTTGAAAAATTTCGAAGTATGTTAAATTTGAATTAATGTAAATACAATGTAAATGTAAGGAGGCGTGTTGAGAATGTAATACATTTATATTGTATACACAGATATATTGGTGTAAGAGTAAGCGGAACGCACCCATAGTGTCATGGGTTGACATGACAGACAATAATAGTAATGTCAATGAGTATCATGTAGTTGTAGGTGGTAGTAAGAAGTATGGTGGCTTAAGTTAGGTTAGTTAATTAGTATGTATGTTATAGGAAATAAAGCCTTTATAATAGTAGTAAAGTACGACTATTTATTTTCCAAATCCACACCTTAACACTATGGTTGCATTCTGTATGGTACTGCTAGTAAAACACATTTATTAACTGCAGACTGCATTCAGTCCAAATGTCTAAGAATATGCTTGAGCACCAAGAAGTCTATCAGATTGCTAAAGATGTTACCCATGTTGGACTGTGTATGTACCTATATTCACATTAGATGACTTACAGTAACATTATAATATCAGAATTTTAATAAACTGGAAAACATAGCAAAAAATTCAAATAATCATTATTATACTATCCACCCCACCTTACTACAAGATATTGCCTATATTTTTAAATACGCAATGCCAAAGAAGTCAACAGTGACAATTACATGTTTGAAAGCTAATCACGGCGCATTCCGAGCTCACTTGGCTAATTAAATATTATCTGCGTTAAAATCGCCCTTATCGGGATTATGACAATGGGATTTTATTCTGGCCGCTCGCTTTGTATCATGAGGGTATTAGGAGATGAAATTTGTTCACTAATAGTTCAAAATAATTCTTCAAATAAATTTATTGACGTTCAAGAATTTTGGCTCAAAAAAATTTGTATAACTCGTCGATGCTTCCCTGTCTTTTTATTTTCTTTGCTTTTAAAGTTTTCTTCCATTCATTCTAGCTGTTTTCCAGTTCTTTCCTCTCCTATTTTGCCTACATATTTGAAGAGTTAAAAAAACAATGTAGATGATGTCTTATTTTTGACAGATGTCAAAATATGTCAAAGAATGTGTCAATGTCAAGATATGTTGACAAATGGCCCATGTTAACTGCCCTTCTATATGCGTCTATACTTCATCTAATTTACTTACCGTTGCACGTCATTTTCATTGACAGAGATCGAAGTTGACATAGTTGCCAAAAGATAAAAAAAATCCTGACTCCATTTTAAATCAAATAGATCACACAATTATTGCAAAAGTATTACCATCTGTTTTCAACGACTATTTAAATTCTTACGTGACATTTTTGAAATAAAACACACTAATTTTGTTCTAAAAAGAACAGATTTTATTAAATAGGCAATAATATAAAAGAAGAGATATTTTTACTTTAAAATTCAAAATAATAAGTGTCAACACCGCAATTGTCAAATAAGTGTTACCAATTTATGCCAAAATATCACCTTTGTTCAATTACAGTTACAGTGTATTCTGAACAACTGTTCTTCATAAAAACGCTTTATAATGCATTTATACAAATTAAATGAAACATATTATTGTGTATTTATTTAAGTTAACATTAATAGAAATCTTTAAATATTATTTCTACGCGTGTATGATAAAATATGTCTAGTGGCTGTAATGCCATTGTACTCGGCAAAGTGATTCTAAAAAAGAACACACCTACCGCCTAAATATTTCGTGTTGGTATCATGTGACCTCACGAACTATGACGCGGATGACGTGCAACGGTAAGTAAATTAGATGAAGTATATATTCTTTGATATAAGGTTTATTCTATGTATTTTTTATACAGTTGCCACTGAATATTAAGAACAGTCGCCATTTTTGGAACGACTCGACGGAATCACACAAAAATTTAGGAAACTACTGAGTGAAACAAGAGTTTTCGAGTGAGATATCACTTGTCATACGATCGTGTGTACAAGTTTTTACAAAATGATGCCAGTCATTCATATATCATAATGATTAAATCAGTTCAATTCAAGTCAGTCTAAAAATAAATTTGGATACACTGAGATCTAATTTTATTTCAATAATAAAATAAAATACAGCTGTTCGTCAATGACATTTATATTCCATGTTCAAGGCGGTAAATACGAGCAGATAAACGATGGCATAAAATGATTTTAATAAAACAGTATTGCAATCGGTAGAAACACCTCTTTTAAGTACGATTTGGTTGCTTGGCATTAACGATTTTTTCGTCAACTTTCGCAAATCTGTCGCACAATTGAGCATCTTGTTGACATCACCTACCTCTCTAAAAATAACTATTTTTTGTATCGTTTCATTTTTCGTACAATTTTCCAAGTGTACATTGCGTGGAAATACGCTGGGTAAGTCGTAAGGTTCGTTATAAAATACTTTAATGGCAGGCATCGCTTCAACAGACATAAAAGATAAGTCAGAAGTGTTTTCACTTGTTTCGTCTGTGGCAGTTACCATGGTATCACTCAAAGAACTTTTTTCTACCTCTTGAATTTGTGTGGATTTATTTCCATTCGGACTCAATTGTGTTACTTGAAGCTCTTCTTCTGATATCGAGTCTGTAACTGTACTTAATTCTGTGCTGGCATCAGATGTTTTCGACTTTTCACAAATGACCGCAATTTTGTTACTTTCAGAGTTTGTTATGTTATCGCCGTGATTTAATTGTTCTTCATGTGAAACTTCTTCAGTGTTATTATTCACTATATTAATTTTTGGTACCGGAAAACTGCTTGTTTGATTCATCACCAAAAACGATACTTTTTTTGGTTTTACTTTACTCATTTCCTTTTTACACTTTTTAAGGCAACCAGGCTTCTCTAATACATCTTTACCGTGACTCTGCATTGCACTATAACTTAAAGAAGCATAATATTCAATATTTACAATATGTACAATTCTAGCTATGCTGATACTATAGGCGTAGTTAACCAGAATGGCTTTGTGTACCTCAACAGCCTTATCAACTTGAATATCACTCAATGTATTTAAGAAAGATAAAACGTTGTAATATGAAGGCCTTCGTTCCAAATTCGGTGCAGGTAGTGAATCTGTTGTTTTGGTTTTGGATCTGGAGTTTTTAACAGCTTGCATGAAGGGCGTAAGGAACTCTTCACTTGGAATTGGGTCGGCTCTTGGAGATTCTTCTCTAAATATTGGTATCGCTGTGGATGTAGTTTCTTCAGTCTAAAAAAAGAATGATGATGAGCCATGCTTTTAAGAATTGATTGAAAATAGTAGATACATAAAAGAATATTTAAAACAATATCGATAAAGGATACGTTGGATCTTTTCCATGAACCGTTTTGGTTGGAAAAGAGACGCACATTTCTAAGCAAAGGAAAGCGAAACACCGATGGTTTCAAAGGATTGAATAAACAAATAAAGAAGGGAGTAAAGGAAGATTTAAGGATCTACAATAAAAACAAGGTAGAAAAAGTAATATTAGCCGCTCCTAATCCGGTAGGCTTGCTTTGGCAGACGAAAATTGAAGATTTTTTTAAATTAACGCTTAAAATATCTTCAATTTTCTTTAATATTGTATCTAAAAATATTTTGTTGCAAAGACTGCACTTTTTTGTTTAATTCCTATTTGCTATTAAAGATATAAATAAATATGTATGACTATAATCAATATAGTTCGATTATCCGAACAAATCGGTTTGCCGAACATCTATGTCCTCCAATTAGTTCTGATAATCGACACTCTACTGTAAGTCGTTTTGGAAGCTTAATAAAAAAAATTACCGGAGATTGCATATCATCCAGTTGGTTGTAAATATCTTCAACTCGACAAATGATTTTATTAACTTGATCTTCCAAATAATCATAAACGTCTTTCTTTTCTGCTAGTCCTGCGTTATTTTCTTCAGTTGGTTTCTGTTCTGTCGTGTTTTTTTCTTCAGCTGTCAAGTTATTTTCAGCATCAGGTAATTTCTGGTCTAAAACAATGGTTTCTAATGGTTTATTTTGAACCGTATCCATTGGATGTTCTTCGTCTTTATCTTGTTCTTTATCTTTCGCAACAGATGATAATTTTTCTTCCAAACTCTCTTGTGAGTGTTGCTCATTCGCCTCGGTTTCGATTACAGATATTTCTGGCAGTTGGCTTTTATTTTCAAACCTTTTAATATGCATGCAACTACTTTTACTTTTAAGCAAGTGCGGATCACTTGCGAGACATGTACGAGATTCTTTTCGTTTTTCTAATAAATGTGGACTACTCGAAATATTGAAATAGCAAACAGGCATTTGATTTTTCTCGGTTCTTTTCAAAACTCCTGGTGTACAGCGTTCCTTCGAAGGAATTGTTACTGGCGAAGAAACAGTTTTGGACATAGGAATCTTTATATCCTCTTTGGGGCGGTATTTTTTAGGATTTCTGTGATAATTATCATCTGAAGATAATGTGTTGTCCGATGCTGATCTGAAACGAATAAAAAATTGTATTGTTGGTGAGTACGTACAAAAGGTCATTTATTATATGTCACGTGTAAAACTACAATGTATTTGGCATTGGAGAGAGATCGAGAGAAACAAAGAAAGAGAGAGGGAGATAGACAGATGGAGAAATAGACACAGAGAGAAACAAAGGCATCACGAAAAGTCGTGGGTAGACAAGAAAAAGACAACAAAAGCAAAGAAAATATTACAAAACAAGTAGACCAGGGCGGATCTGTGAAAAAACGAAAACATTTGGATGTGAGAGGTGTCATTCAGATATTTACAGAAAAAGTTGTGTGATAACTGTATAATTATTATTATTGGCGACGTGCAAGTACTTGGATGTGATTCGAGAAACGATCGTGCGCGAGTAGCGGAGAAATCTTGCATTTTTTACTGCACATTTCATAGATTTCATAAATTCATATTGTCAATTGTCATATTTCATACTCGTTTGTTTATTTACACCTTCTGTCACTAAAGAAAATGGGATTTAGGAAATGCTGTGTTATAAATTGTAAAAATACAACAAAAATTGTCAATTTAAGGTTTATTCGTTTCCAACTTCGAAGCACAAATTAATACAAAGAGAAAAGTGGATTTATATCATAAAAAAGCATAAGTAACATAACCTAAATTATGCATTATTCTTGCGCCCGATTTTAAAGTCAGTTTGAAATAAATAATAAATAAAAGTTCACTTTTAAGTGTAAATTCTAGTTTCATAACACTCACTTAAAGTTCATTTTAACCCAAAAATCAAGTTTAATGTTTAAATTTTATTTTTTTGAAGTTTACAAAAATGCATCAAGTTCAAGTTTTTCTAAAGATGAATTAAGATATATTATATTCGCTGTCCAAAAGTTTACAGGGAAAGAATTAATTATTGTTCAAACCAATATGATGATATCATGGGCTTAACCTGCTAATTTATGCATTAGCATTATTTATGGTAATTTATTTTCTTAATTCTTCCACATAATTCTTCCATTCTTTTTTGACATTTTCCACTACTAAAGCTTTTCCCTTTGACTCAGTGCTTGGTTGAAAAGTTATTTGGTGATTTACTTTCTCAAATCCAGTTTTTATTATTGCATCCGTATTAACAGTAATGCTGTAATTTAATAATATATTTATTTGTATTTACACTACATACAATGTTTACCTTTTAATAACATACCGACATAACCTCAACCTTAGTTTTTCTTCTTATTCTTTTTTGGGCTACGTCCTTGACAGTTATCCGGTAACCTCGATCTAACATGAAAGCGCAGTAAATTTTGCTGATTTACGACACCAGGTTCTAAGTGTTCCGAACTTGCACAGTCCCAATATAAGAGATAATTTAATTTTTTGTAAGATACGACTGGTTCAAAGTGTTTCCAACCAACAAAAAGAATAATTAAAGAAAAAAAACAACTATACAGAAAAGGCTGAGAAGTGAAAAAACAAATAACACAACAAAAGAATGAAGAATGGAAAAGAACCTGCTTAAATATTGAAACACATGGGAGGTACAAGAACTTCGGAGTCATGGAAAGTACTGAGAGAATTGAAAGTCCTGTTAACTGTTAATAGAACGAAGACCACCATTTATTGGAAAAGAAAACAGGCGAAGATGAAGCAGATCCCCACAACAAGAAATAGAAATAACAGATAGTGAAATGAGAAAGGCCATAAAAGCAATCAAAAATAAGAAAGCACCGGGACCTGGAAGCATCTCACTTGAGCTTATAAAGTACGGCTCAAAACAATTACACAGGATGATAAAATGGATATTTCAGAAAGCTATAAATGGAGAACAGCTCCCAAAGGAATGGACAGAGGCATATATGACATCTATATTTAAGAAAGGAGATAGAAAACGAGGCGAAAACTATAGAAGAATATCATCAATAGGAAAATTATATGGGAATAGACTGTGAGAAAAGATAGAATAAGAGATAAAAGGCAAAATCAGAGAGGATCAGGCAGGTTTCACGGCAGAAAAATCGCGCATAGACTACAAATACACACTGGAACAACTGTTGGAAAAGAAAAATGCCAACAAGTTTTGGAACAAAATGACCCAGTTAAAAAACGCTCTTTGATAGACCTATTGGTCAGAGAAGAAGAGGAAGATTCAGAACAAGGTTCCTTGATAACATCGATGAATACATGAGAAATATGGAAATACGTGCTTGTCGGAGAAAGGCAATGGATAGAGATGACTGGAGAGAAATTCTTGAGGAGGCTACTACCCACGCAAGATTGTATAGTCAGAATGATGATGATACAGCGACAGAAGTCATACATTGACCGGCAGTACCAAACTATTGTTTATTTTTGAGTTGGGATTTATTTATTTTTACTTACTGTAAACTATCTGCACGTCTTTTAGAACTATTTTTACGTTTCCTAGTAATATCCATGTCACACCTAGAGGTTTCGTTTAGTATATCAGATTCTAATATTTTCTCGAGCTTCTTAAAGACGTCGCTAGATATAGCATTAAATTCGTTAACGAAACTTTCATGTTTCGACATAACCGAATCTAAAATAAATAATATATAATTAAAAATTGTATACTATAATAATTATTCATATTCATTTTCGAATATTGTGCTGAAGCTATTTTCTTGTGGCATTTTAAATTAATTACTATTTAACTGGGAATAAGCCACAATTAAAGGTAAAGATACGTTTATTGACGTTTCAATTTCCACTTCGGAAATCGTTCTCAAAATACAAACAGTAAAAAAAAACATTTAAACATTGTTTGTATTTTGAGAACGATTTCCGAAGTGAAAATTGAAACGTCAATAAACGTATTTTTATCTTTAATTGTGGCTTATTCCCAGTTTAAATAGTAATTCATTTTTCAAAGTTTATTATAGATACTCTGCAAACTTTGAGTATCGTTTACACAAGTAAGTAGCTAAAACAGCTTTTCGTATTGTCTGACGAAACTTGTTTTCCGATTTTCCTGTCTGACAGGCGAATGTGGTCGATTTTATGACCAAAAAATGTATTAATAACCGTCAGACATTATAAAATGTATACGTGGAAAATCAGCACTACGTGGTAAAGTCTCTGATAGACACACAAAACACTGCACTATTTTGAATTTTTATTATTAAATATTTGAGGCACACGTGTATACGTCATTGTAACCACCACAACAGGGGAGAGAAAAACAGACTTTTTCTTCATGCTGGAGGGCAAAGTAATAAGAGGAGAATTCAAACGAACGACCTCCCACAGGAAATTGTTTTAGCCCCAATGCTTCTCAATAGAAATAGAATCAAATAGAAAGGGAGTTTCAAAGTATTTTGTAGTTGATATGTTGTTTTAGATATAAGTTTGTTTTACTATGATTGTGCACCTGCTTTTATAGTTTGAATTTGAAAAGTTTTCTACAGCTCATTTTAAAGAATATTGTCAGGTTTCTTCGATGTCAATAAAGGGTATGACAATTCTTAATAGTCCTAATACCCAGTTCAAATTTGTCTGCCGTTGAAGAACATTGATTATTAGACATTGAAAAATAAAGCTTTACACAACAGGGAATAGAAAAAAATGTATAGTAATAGTAATGACAACTTTTTATATAAATATTTTTACCTGGTTTTGTGTTTAATATCTGTAACGGTTGTTCTTGTATCGAATCCCCTGGCGGTTTTTCTCTTTCTGGAGGATCAAAGAACACCCTTTTAGATCCCTGCGATTCTGGACTTTGTTCCCTTACGGGACTCAACTGCACCACCCTCCTATACTTCCTCCCATCCGTGAATTTCATCGAATTCAGCACACTAGAAATCTCTTTCTGCATCTCGTCTAAGGCTTTCGCGTTCGTATAGATACCGGGAGTCGAAAACATGTCCACCATTTTGGATTCGACCACGTCGATTGCTTTTTGGATGTTATTTTGGATCTGGTCATTTTTTTGTTTGAGGCCTTTGAGATTCACTAACATGTTTTTGTGTCGGGCAACGGTAGATGAACCATTTGGGGAATCTAAAAATGTTCAGAAATATTTAAAACGCAAAAATAAATATTCAAATGTTGAAGTTTCTTTTTTTTTGTTGTTGCGACTGTTTTAATTTGCGCTTCCTATGTCCAATGACTCTAATCTTCAATCCATGTCTCCATATCGCATACATATACGAGGTATGTTCAAAAAATACCCGCAATTTTTAAATTTCGCGGGCTTGGAGAGTCCAATCGGCAATTTTGTTATTATATTGGTGTACCTAGATGCTTCTAAAGTACAAAAAATGCAGCTATAATCATTGTTTACCTTATCTGTAGCAGCCGCTAAGGTTTGACGATTTTCATTTATGGATCAAAGAGTTTGTATTAAATGTTGCGTAAAAAAATGGAGTAAGATTTAACAAAGTGTAGGAAATGTTAACAAAAATTAAGTGTTTGCAAGTGGTTTAAGCGTTTCCAAGATGGCCATGAAGACGTTGAAGATGATTGACGCCCCAACACATCAAGAACTGATGAAACCGTAAAAAAAGAGACAGAAATGGTTATGAACTACCACCGAATGACAATCAGAGAAGTCGTTGATTAAGTTGGTATATCAATTGTATCAAAATTTGTTCCAATTGTTGAATTTTGAACAAAAACAGCGGCGTGTGGAAGTTGCTCAAGAATCACTAAATGATGTAAACGATTACCCAGATTTACTAAAGGGTTATAACAGGTAACAAAACATGAGTTTATGGATATGACGTCGAAACTAAGGTTCAATCGTCCCAATGGAGGCATTCTGGTTCGCAAAGACCAAGAAAGGCTCGACAAGTGAGGTTGAACGTGAAGGTTATGCTCACTGGTGGTGAGCTCACTGTGGTAAAACAACTCAATGCTTTTGCATCACGATAATGCACCAACATACTTCATTGCTTGTTCGTGACTTTTTGGCCAAAAACAATACTGTAATGATGCCCTCGCCTCCATATTTACCAGACATCGCTCTGTGTGGCTTTTTCCTATATCCAAAAATAAAGAAACCCTTAAAGGCCATCGTTTCACAAGCATAGATGACATTAAAAGCGCATCGCTGATCAAACTAAAGGCTATCCCAAAGATCGAGTTTGAGAAATGGTTCAAGTATTGGCAGAAGCTTTGGTACAAGTGCATAATATCTGTTGGGGACTACGTTGAACGACGAATGTAGACGAATAAATAATTTTTTTTTTTCAAAAGACGAAAATTTCGGAAATTTTTTGAATACACCTCGTATCTACATAATTCCATCATACTATGTATTCTAAATTTCGTTTAAAATAATATTTGTTTCATAATCGTCCATCTGCTTAGTGATGCAGATAAAAAAGATTCCATTGCTTGACCAAAATTGATCAAATTATAGTATAAAATTTGTTTAGGTAAGCTATATTTACTTACTGGGTTTTTCTGTTAAACTTCTCGATACCTTAACATTTTTCTTCGCGCTCGAATGTTTCGTTTTCGTTGGTGTTACATTCAAATAGTTCTCGAATGCTGGCTCTTTTCCGTCGGGATTATTTGATTGTTTTGGACTAGATGTTAGCAACTGTTGGCTTATATTTTTTTCGCTTCTGTTGCCCCTGTAATACAAAAATAACACGTCATATTTGGTTGTAAAATATTTAAAGAATATTCAAAAATATAAATGCAGCTATAGAGCACAAATAGACTACATCTTAATCAGATCAACATATTCTGGTAGCGATCATCAACTACTGGTATTGAACGTTTGACTTCGTTTTAAAGTCCCCAAAAAAAAGACCAATAAGAAAAGTCATGTCTCTAAATCCATCAAAAAACAATGACTTCCAACAAAACCTAGAAGAGGCTCTTTCTTTAGAATAAGTAGATAGTGACCCTGAGAGCCCTTGGATCTATCTCAAATATAAGATAATCGAGGCTGCAAAAGACTGACGCAGCGATTTCCACGGACCGTAAGCCGTGGATATCCGATAATACGTGGACTATGATTCAAGGTAGAAAAAAAAAACATAAAACTAGATAGGGAACAAACGATGAATACAGAGCGTTATCGAAAGAAATCAGAAAACAGTGCCGCAAAGACAAAGTTGATTACAACTCTCAAATATGTAGAGGCCTAACATGGCTGTCGAAATGAACCGAAGGATTTATTTCAGAAGATCAAACACCTTACCAGAGAAGTTAAATTTCAAACGTGGTCTGTGATAGATAAGGAAGGTAATCTAAAGACCGACACTGAAGAAATACTGGAAACATGACGAAACTACTGTGGCAAGCTATATAAAAATAACGAGGTAACAGCAGAATATCAATGGCCCCCTAACTACCCTAGAGAACTTACTGTCTTACTCGCTGAAGTCAAAGATGCAATTAAATCGCTAAAGAATAATAAATCCCCAGCATTTATTGAATTCTTCTTCTTCAAGTTCCACTCCTATCGGAGATTGGAAATAATTCTGGCAATTATAATTTTATTGGTTACTCGCCTGAATAGTTCAATTGAACTGCATCCAAACCACTCACGGAGATTGCGTAGTCACGAGATTTTACGTCTTCCTACGCTTCTTCTACCTTTGATTTTACCCTGCATTATATTCCTTAGTAGTTCGTACTTTTCACCTCTCATGATGTGTCCCAAGTATTCCAATTTCCTGATCTTTATGGAATTTAAAACTTCGCATTGTTTTCCTAGTTGTTCGAGAACTTGTTCGTTTGTTTTGCGATCCATCCATGATATTTTCAAAATGCGTCGGTAACACCACATTTCGAATGCTTCTAGGTTTTTAATGTTGGATTTTTTAAGTGTCCAAGCTTCAACTCCATACAAAAGGGAGGATTTATTGAATACCAGGTGAAATACTACAGTTACTAGGCAACAAAGGATTACATATCATCCATTCTATCTATGTCGCTGTTTGGAATCAGGAAAATGGCCATCTGATTGGTGTACGTCAATTTATATCCCGCTACACAATAAAGGAACTACTACCAGATGTGAAAACTACCACACACTGTCACTAATCTAGTAAAATCTTGTTGCATATTATCAAAAACAGAATAAAAACCTATCTACATTACCAAATACCTCAGGAACAAGCGGGGATTGTAAACGGTAAAGGTACACGGAAACAAATCCTGAACCTGAGACAACTCTTTGAAAAGTCTAGAGAAATTCAAGTACCTATGATTAATGCTTCGTTGACTACCAAAAGGCAATTTATTGTGTAAGCTGGATAAATCTGTGGTCCATATTAATAGAAATGGGTACAGCAATGCACCTGGTGAGACTTATTAAAAATGTGTACCAGTCCAATATAGCAACAGTACGACTAGATCAGAAGTTCTCAAACCAATTCAAGACCAAGAGAGAGGTGTTAGACAAGGATGCGTGTTGTCACCTGACTTATTCAGGTCAGGTGTATGTCAGTAACTTAAGTTTGGAAAATCAGATCTATCTCTCAAAATATCAAGATATATATTTGAGATGTGGTGCTATAGAAGAATGCTTGTGTGTGCTGGAAAAGAATGCTTGTGTGAAGTGTACTGACAAAACATTATGAATGATGGAATGATAAGGAATGGGTGATCCTAAATGATATCTGACGATTTGGTCTTCACCTCATGACAATAACGACGATAGCCTGAAAATGGTTTTGTGGCAAGAGCTTTCAAACAAACAGTTTACTTTTTTTTAATATCAAAACAGTACTTACGCAAAAAGAAACATACCTCGTAATAAATTAATCAAGACAAAATATATAGGTATGAAATGAAAAACATTTAAAAAATGGGTAAAACATTGACTAGTGCACTCTAATGATCATGTAGACAGAATGATCGAAGACAGATAAGTTTAGCGAACGATCATTCCACACAAACGCAAGATACTTAGAGCAGATTAAAAAACTGACAGACTATATACCTGTATGAAGGAAGATATGTATGCTTTAGAGACGGTATTTGCTTGATTGATAAAGTTGATCATAAAAAATACAAAAATCATACTTTTTACTTACATTTTTAGTTGGAATTCCATGTTATTTTGCGTATTATTCGTTTTACAAACTGAATAAACAAAATTCTTTGCGTGCGACGGACTTTTGTGAAGTGGATTTCGCACGAACTTGTCCATATGATGGTTAATTTTTGTATTCGCGATGGGTGAGGGATGTGGACACTCTTTTAATGCTAGAAATAGATAAAAATTATTTCTAAATGATTAATGCAACGAATTGCGCAACTAAAAAAGATTAGATGAGTAAAAATCATATATCTTCCACTCAGTAAGCCTTATGTCGCCCCTACCTGACTAATAAATATTATTTGGACAAAATTCGGATCTTAATCCAATAGAAACACTTTGGCACAAAATGAAATATCGCCTAAGAAAATAACATGTGCAGAAATAAGAAATAACTAGCTATGTGAAGGCCTAGTTAATACAGTCCTTCATAGAGTTCAGAGGCGACGTTACGCCTTATTAACTTTTATTTTAATTTATTAAAAACCTCTTGTTCCAATATTTCATCATCATAAAATGTTGTTAATCTCATATTTACAATTAAAATAAATTAATTTTGGTAAATTGGTATTTTAATCACAAAATAACTGCTTGTTCCAACATATAGTTGTTATGGTTCTTATTCCGTGTAGTTAATAATCGATGATCACGAACAGATTTACATCGAAGCCGGATTTCTTATGTAAATTGTTGTGCACATTGAAACATGCTATATTTCAGCATTTAAATGCATTTGAATCTTCTTTACGGGTACTTTTTTTCACACCGACGATAACAGTATTTTCAACCACATTGCCCCACGGACGCTGTATTACTATTCAAAATAATTAAATTTTAGTACACAACACTATTAATTTTTTGATAGAGATTTGAAGATAAAAAATGATCTGTATCAATAGCTCTAAATTCTGACCTTATCTACACTTATGCATAGCAATCTTCGTAGTTGGTAGACTTGGCATTTTTTATTTTTTGCTAGGATGGTAACTAAAAATTCAGATTTGGTATTTGTGTATCCTTTATTTGTACAATTTTTTTCTTTATTTGTATTCTCGATGTTAATACTACTTGTTACAACTACAGGTAATCTAAAGCCAGTGCGTCATGTGATTGATATGAAATATAAAATTGATTATTATCTAATCTAAATAAAACAAACCTTTTGAATCGTTTGGGTCACTTTCGTTCCTTGGAAGATAATCATACTTCCTCGACCATTCCATTTTTTCTTTGCGAGTTGTTCGAGCACTATGTCTAGTTGCTACAGTTTTGTTAAATATGGGTTGCATGTAAAATGATGGTGGAGATTTTGGTTTACCTGCTGCAAAAATATTTTTATATAAAAATCCATAGATGACATTAAAAAAAAAGACATTAACATTTAGTAAATTGTGCATTAAATTCTATAAAATGTTCGTTTTATGTCTTCGGTTACCATTAGAAAATCTTGTGAATCATCCATGTATGTCAAACATGACTAGTCAGCGACACAATTACGGGAAGTCGAGGTGTATCATACGTTGTAGTACAATTGGCGCCCAACGTGGGGCTTGATAACGTTTGATGCTATAAGATGTCAATAAGTACTACAAAGTATAATGTTTTGTTTCACAAGCTACTTTTCGGCTAGCGTGTGTACTTGATATCTATATAAAGAAAAAACACTGAGGCTCGTGTCTTAGTAAATAATAAATAAAAGGATACAATATTAGATTTTTATCTATTTAAGCAACTAGTTGACAGATTAAAAAATATCAATAAAATCTGTCACTCACTGGAGTTCCTGCGTAGTACAGTAAATATATAGAAAAATAAACTTATCTATTCTTTCTAGTTTTCTTGGTGTTCATGTTCCAAGAAATTTGTTTAAAAACGATTTAATATTTGTAAATTATCCTTACGTTGTCTTTTGCCTCCTGCGCTCGTCCACTTGCCCCTGCTGACTTGTACCTCCTTCATCGGTGTCAACGGCAGAGTTACTGTCGGTGCAGGTCTTTGAACTGGTGTAAATTTGCGGTTATAGTTTATATTTCCAGAATACTCCATCGTTATGTTCTGATCTTTGTTGTAAAATACGTGAACTTGCATTACTATTAGAGGTTGTGCCATTTTTCTTTGGTCCGATTGGGGGTCGAAGAGATACGGAGCTAGAGCCTGGATTGCTTTTTTCCTCTTAAATAAAATAAAACTGGTTAGTTTGCATGTAGGTATAATAACTATAAAAACAGAGTATGATCGGGTTAATTTTCATTCGCATAAATAATATGATAAATCCGAAAGACGGGAAAGTTGGAGATTTCTTCCCGCTATTGTTTTCACTCTGAATGTAATTAAAACCAACTTGTTTTATTTTAACTTTATTCGCCTCTAACCAACATGACAATTTTTGTAACATATATTCGACCACTGTTCACGGAGTCTAGGCAAAGAGTCAGGCCACCTGTGGTCCTTCAATCGCGATGCAGTGGCACGTGTACTGCTGCCGATGTTGACAAAATAGATTTTTACGGAAAAGTCTGCACAAGCATTTTGTAAGGAGTAAATTTGAAGCCAGTTCAAATTGGTAAGGAGAAAACAGGAGTCCTAAGTTAAGTTTATTAGCGTTTTCTGGAATAGTAGGTGATAGTAGAAGGAATACTGAATTGTTGAAACGTTTTAGGCATACAAATAGTGAGATAGAATCTGCTTTTTTATTTATCAAAAAACACAAAAAAAGTTTTTAGTGCAGATTTTACAAAACTACAAGAAAACTAATAGCTTACCCTGGCTTTTACACTAGTTGACTTATCATTCGAGGTAGGCCTGCTTTGTTCATTCGACACCTTCATCTTCTTCGTCAGTTTTTCGTGATCCTTGGCGTGCTTACCCTTACTCTTGTCCCATTCGTCGCACTCTATGGTAGGGTGCAATAGTTGGTTCCAAACACTGTTAATGACATTTTTATCTTTGGAACCGTACATGATTTTGTACAAATAGGAATCGTGGATATCTTTAAAAGTATCTACATCGTTTACGTATAAATGATCTCTTCTCGGGTACTCCGGGTGGAGGGGCAGCAAATCTCTATAAGAAATTTACAAATCACTTCAAAAATGGAATTAATCACTAAAAATAATTGGACATGACTTCACTATATTTTATAAACCTACCCATACTGACACGACTATACACGATTCGTTATCCCATCCAACAAAACATACACTGGCAGCCTATCATAGTATGTTACATAGATTAACAGAAATTCCGATGACGAAATACAACTTTGAGAGAGAATTAAATATCATTAAGCAAATAGCAGTAAACAACGGATACAACGAACAAACAATTAATAAAATGTTTCATCAAAAACTACATGAAAGCCCTGAAATTAGTATTTCCACCACCAGAGAAAAATCCCAGTAACTTCTGCTCGATTACATATACAGGCCAAATATCAACAAAAATAGCCAAATACACAAAAAAGAAAGGAATAACACCAGCTTTCCGAACAAATAACAACCTAGGCAAATATATTAAAAACAACAAGAGCCAAAATAAAAAACACTTACACAGTGGTGTGTAGGAACTTAAAAGTGGCGACTGTCCAAAAACTTACATCGGTGAAACTGGTAGAAAGTCTAAACGCATGCAAAAATAGATCACTTGTGAAAGGCAATCAGCCGAAACAGCTGTAGTGATAACAGTTTAAAATAAATTTGGTGACAAAATTTTCAGTGTTTTATTGTTACATAAAAGGTTTAAATGTTTATTTTTGAAATTAATAATGATCTTTTACAGATTATTATTTACAAATAGAGAGACTTTATTTAAATTAAAAAATATACACGCCCATTATTCATGATTTTTCTTCTTTTTTAATGAAAGAAGCCTGCAACAGTTTTTGAGCTATTAATAGTGAGAAGTAGAAATTTTGTGTTGTATGTTTCGGACAATGAATCTGTCAAAATACTCCCAAACTGAACGAACTGTTATGTTCTGAATTCATGGCCAGTTCCATTTCAAATTAATTTTTAGAAGTCTATTATATTTTCAAGTCTTTATGTAAAAGAACAATATTTTAAAATATTAGAATAAAAAATATTTCACTTACTTAGTTGTCAGATCATCCAAAATATCTACATGTGTCAGTTTTCTGTGACGATTGTTACCTCTGGGGATGTGCAGATGCATTCTGTTATGGTTAGGAACCGGTCTCTCATTTGAAACAGTCACTGAACAACCACAAACTAAAATGTTATTGAACTTTGAAAATAAGGCTATTATCGAGCACAAGTTAATTAAATCAAGCCCAAGTACTTTCGCTTAAAATAGCATCTTCAGGGGCATTTCGTCAAAATGTAAACTATCCGGCAAGCGTAGAAAGTGGAAACATTAAAAATAAGTAATTTTAAACTGTTTGTCCTCGTTTTAGTGTAGTGTTTTGTACAATTTTATGTTATTTTTAATGTTTCCACTTTCTACGCTTGCCGGATAGTTTACATTTTGACGAAATGCCCTGAAGATGCTATTTTAAGCGAAAGTACTTGGGCTTGATTTAATTAACTTGTGCTCGATAATAGCCTTATTTTCAAAGTTCATTTATTCGAGCATTCAACCTCATTTCATTTAAAATGTTATTAGATTAAAATTTTAGGAAATGAATCTGACAATATTTTAATAAAGTTTTATAAGAAGAAGGGTTTAATAGAAGCTGGGTAGACTTCTCTAATTACATTTTTTCATAAGTGTGAAATTATCATTTCATGTAATTTTTGTTTTTCTTGTGTTGTTTTGTAGTTGTTCTGTTTGTATAGTTGTGATTGTTATTTTGAAGGTGTGCCAAATACTTTCTACTGATTCTTCTGCTACCGCGGGTGCAGAATAGTGAACTTTTCTTTGAGTGTATAATTGAACATTTTCTCTATCTCTGGATACTATATGGATACTATATTTTCTGAAAAATCGAGCATTTTTATTCTGTAAACTTGTTCTTCTTCGCCATTTCGAGTTTGAGACGTTTGTTGCCCATTTCAGACAGTTAATGCGTATGCATAAAAGAACAAGACAAAAATAAACCACTTGACGAACAATTTCGCTGAAATACCATTCTTCTTCTTTGAGAGCCTCTCCTATCGGAGATTGGATATCATTATGGCGATTCTAATTTTATTTTATTTACTGCTGTTTTGAATAATTCGTTAGTGGTACAGCCAAACCACCCTCTTAAATTGCTCATCCAGGACATTCTTCTGCGGCCTGGATTTCTGCGTCCTTGGATTTTTCCTTGCATTATATTTTGTAGGAACGTTTACTTTTGTCCTCTCACCAGGTGGCCTAAGTATTCAAGTTTTCTCTTTTTTATATTCATAATAACTTCTGGATCGTTATTTATTCTGCGTATTACCTCTTCATTTGTAATTCTATCCACCCAACTTATTCTTAGTATACGGCGGTAACACCACATCTCAAAGCTATCAAGATTTTTAATATTCTTCTGTTTAAGAGTCCATGCCTCAACACCGTAAAGCAAAGTACTGAAATACCATAAAGTCTGTTTATAAAAATTATAGCTGTACAACATAATTTAACATAAAAACTTACCTGTCTGAGACTTCGGAGCTTTTTGAAGAACACTCGTGGCTGATTTTCTAGTAGGTTTATTCCTCGACGTTGGACGAGATGCCGGTGGACCAATTTTATGCTTGTCTTTTGTCTGATGTCCGCTTTTCTTTTGCCCTCGTTCGCCTTTGTGCATCTTCTTTTCGTTAAACCACAAACTGTCGGCATATTTAACTTTGTGTTTCCTTTTATTACTCTCATCTTCTTTTATCTATCGAGTACAATTGATATTACATGGTATTGAAATTATAGGAGCTAATTTAAATATCAAGAAGAAAATAAATACAGTCCGACAATGACGTATAATTTATAGACCCTGCAGTCGGCTATGATTAATATATAATCAGGTCTCATAGAGCAATGGTTCTCAACCTTTTCACCACTGAGGACCACTTGTACCTTTCAGAATTCTTGGCGGACCACTTAGATATTATTAATATTTCCAATAATAGGTAAAATGGGATGAACACTGAAGTTTTACTAATAAATTTATCATTTACAAAATAAAAAAAGAAAATACATACTGAAAGACAAAAGTAATATAAAAAACAAAATAAAAATTCATAGATAGCGCCAAATTAAGACGTTAATGACTCCCTTGGTCTTGTTTCTCACTTGAAAGTTTCTCAATATTTGGCTCGAAAGAAGTTAACTCCAGTCTCATAGGAGCATTCAAATTTAGCAACCTATTTCTGTGTTTATTCTTGATGACATATAATGTTGAGAATGATGCCTCACAGAGATAAGTGGAATGAAAAGGAAGAAGTTTCAAAACTTTGTCACTTAGCAGTAGACTTTCATCAAGTAATCCTATCCAAAAATCTGCAATATTTTCGCAGTGAGATTTTATCACTTTTAAATGATCATCGGATGAAGTTTCAATAGCTGTTCATTTTCCTGAATAGACAGATTATTATCATGGGAAGCTAAAAAGGGATCAATCACCCACAGATTATTTTTCCTCAGATCTGTATCAGCACGGAAGTACTTCTCAAAGTAATCTTAAAGCGATTTAATGTAGGACTTAACCAGTGAATGCAAAAACATCCTCATTTAAGCCTTCCTTTTCAGAGATAAAATCTGAAAACAAGTTGAACATTTCAAACGATTCTTTTCCAGTTTCGGACTCCCATAGCAACAATTTTTTCTTAAATGAATCAATTTTTTTCCAAAGGTCAAATGCGCTTTTAGATGGTTACAGGCAATCTTGGCATCAGAAACCAGCGCCTTGGGGTAAAAATATTGGTGATAAATTTACTTATTTGAGGTGATCAGTTTACGGGTCGCCAAAGGATGCCGGTGACCGGTTTGCTACATAATTTTATGGGGGACTAGAAAGTGATAAGTCCGTACTCCGTAGACGCTCATTTAAAAAATAAATTAAACGCAAAGTTAGAAATTACTTTAAAAACTAAACGATGATTCAAAATATCAATTGTGAATATTAAATAATTGACTTACTCGTTTGCCCATACTTTTTATAGAACTTTTGCTCGCAATTTTTGTATTACATCTGGTTTTCTGTGACGAAAGTGACGAGGTATTGGACAAAATAGGTAAGTTGATGCGAGAAACGGGACATCTACAACTAGAATCTTTGCGGTCTTTGTTCTTGCGCATTAACTTTTGAAAGGCAGCGAAACTGTCGTTGGCTTCCAGCTGATTGAGAAGTCTCTTATGAAGATTAGTAACGCCAGGTCGATGGTACACTTCGGGAATCTGTAACGGAGATTTTGGTTTTGCTTCCGTCGAAGGTGATATCGCGTCTTCTTCTTGATTTTTGATAGCTGTAAATAGTAAAAAAATTCAGCAATAATGCATTTATAAAGAGTAAAATGCTTTAATTATTTCAGATACTTGATTCTGAAATAATTTTGAACTCAGATTTTGTAATAGACCTTACTTTAAATAGAAATAGGTTACGCTTTTACAAGATAGCACAAAGGCAGTTTAAAAATTGAAAACATATTGACTCAGTAGCGTATCAGTATGTTGGGAATTATATTTATAAAAAAAATTGAAGTTAAACAAAAAATTACAAATGTAATTAGGGAAGCTGACCCCGCGAAGAGATAAAGCTAATGATGATAAGCTGAAGATTTAGTCAAAAAACAAAAACAGATGATACAACTCGTTAAGACAACTGAAACTGTTAATTTAAATAAAATTATATTTAAAACACAAGCTCCTAAGAGGAAAATTGAACGATTCATGTTCAATTCAAGACTAAAATGAAGGTGGACAGGGCCGCCAAACTAAAAGAAACTCCATGAGTAATCCAAAACTTGGCGAATTCTAATTAGCAACGATAGGAAAGGTTGACGAAGAGCAGGATCAAAACGTGACGTCACCACGAACGTAAATAAAAATGGATGCCAGTGGCGTATGACAGATGCAGTTGGAAACCAGAGGAGGCGGCTTGTGTTCAGCAGTGATTATCTTACGATCACCTCATGATTATCTTACCATTTTTTTCGTTACCGCTTTCCACTTTTTTCGATTTCTCTACCGATTGAGTGCACAAAATATCTATTTCTTGCGTCACGTTCTCTATTAACGTTTGCAAAGAATTCAGGTCCGTGTTGTCGACGTCTAGTTTTAGAGCATCTTTTAGGTTGTCCATTAGCGTTTTTCTTTTAGTATTCTTTCGTGATTTTCTTTTTAGTTTATTACTTGTAGATTGCGGTGTTGGAATCGGTGCTTTATCTGTTTTTACATTACCTGCAAAACATTATATCATTAAACCAAAATGCAAAATGTACAATTCGCCAAATTTCCGTGTTTAAATTGATATCAATAGACTGTTATTTTGTTATTTCTGTATACTCTACGTCTTCAGACAATCGGGAAGATACAAACTCATACAAGGAAAGCCAGCGAATTTCCATTTCTCCAGTGATAGCTGCAAAAAAGCTCTTGCTGAAATTTGTAAATATTTTACATATAGACGTTTACATTTTATTAATAAATAATTTAGTATTGTTTGTAATTTAATTAATTTACAAAAAATGATTTTGGACAGAATTAAAAGAAAAGATTACTACTCCCTGTAGAACATTACAATGCAGAGTATTACACATATTATTAAAAAAAAATGCATTATAATTGGTATGAGAATTTTAAAAATTATTCTTACCATCCCCAACAACAGTAATAAATGTCGGCAAACAACTTTTTGGTTCCTCTTTTGCAGAGCTCTTCGTCTTCAAAATATCAGGTTCTTGCTCTTTCATTGTCTCGTTTGAGGTAATGAATGCCAAACTCTCTATTACATACGCCGAACCGGAATCTGAAGGGGTAGCTGGTTCTGAGTTCGTAGATTCGATAGGCTCTTTTGTGCCAATTTCCAATTCCTCGTGAATACTTTCTAAAACATTTTCGGTAATAACTTCTTCGTCGTCTTCGGTGTACTGATCGGTTTGGTCATTAATCTTCTCTTTTTCAATGTCGTTTCTAAAAAAGTATTATTTATAGAAGATACTTGTATAGATCAAGGGATTGCTTGATCGCAAGGCAAAGCGATGGCTTTTTGATTACATTGGAAAATTTTGAGTTTGCCTTCTTGGTGGTTATTTTTAATATGTGCTACAGAAGAAATCGAAAGAGTACGAATTAGTTACGTTAGGATAGCTTGCGTAAGGTTAGGTTAGGTCAGACCTCGTCAGCTCACGAGGATGTTACGAGCCTTGCGAGTTCTTTCACTTTAAACTAAATTGTACTTACTTAAATCTTGAAGAATTGAAATCGGACACACATTCCCTAACTTTGGAACAAATGCTGTCGATTCCTTTGAATGTATCGATTATCATTTGACTGATGTTGGTGTTGATTTCAGTCAAGTTGTTGTCCACTTGTTTTCGATAATTGATATAAGACGAAACAGTGCTGGATGAGGACAGAGTGGATGATTTTATTGTCAGTGGTTGATCGGCAGTTTTCACCTAAAGTAAAAATTAAATGAGTTGTTGATTTCATTTATGAAAGGTAAAGGAAAAGAACGAATTTTTGAGATATCGAAATATAAATTGTCATACCTCGTTAAATACTCTACACTAATATGTAGAGGGCAACATCCGGAGGAATGGCTTAAATCGATATTTTTACCTCTACCAAATAACTATTCCAAATCATGTAATGACTATAGTTTGATAATCCTAATGTGCCACCCTTTAAAGATTCTCTTGAAAATTGGTCATGACCGAATTTATAAGAAATGTGAGGAGCAGATAAATCAAACGCAGTTTGGCTTCAGAGGAGGCATAGGTACAAGATAGACATTATTTGCGTTGACGGTACTCTTGCAGAAATATCGGAATATAACAAGAGTGCATATGTATGCTTCCTAGACTTTAGGAAGGCCTTTGACCGAGTGCAGCATATGATGTTAAGAGATGAATTAAAAAAACATCAATTTAGACAAAAAAGACATTGAGTTTATTAAGGCTAGATACTGAAACCAGAAAGCAGTAGTAAAGGTGAACGATATAGAAATAAATAATGTAATGTAATAATTGATTGTTAAATAATGTACCGATTGCGAAAGGGTTTAGGCAAGGATGCGTCTTGTCTTCGACGCTTTTCAACATGTACTCACAGGTAATTATGGCTGAGAGTATAGAAGAACTACAAACTTTACTTCTTCTTCAAGTGCCCTGTCCGTGCGAACGTTGGCTATTAACATGGCAATTCTGATCTTATTTGCGGCGCTTCTGAATAATTCGACCGATGTGAGCCACCAGCAACCAGATTTTGGAGCCACGAGTGTCTTCTCCTGTCTGGCCTTCGCTTACTGTCTATTCTCCCCTGGACAATCATTTGCAGTAGACGGTACTTATTATGTCCCAATATGCGACCTAGATATTCAAGCTTTTTTTATTTAATTGTGCTCACGAATTCTTTCTCCTTTCCGATTCTTTGGATTACCTCTATGTTGGTATAAGGGAGCCTCATATCAACATCACATAAGTACTAATTACATTTAAGATTGAGTAATTTTAAGTAAAAGTGTACAGTAGTGTTTTAAATAAATAGTCACATAATTCAACAACCCGTTATTTACCATTTACGACGTTATTTACCATAATGGGAACGGCATAGGAAGAAGAAGATCCAAACCTGATGAAAATCATTGCCTACATTTTTTCTAAATAACTTTTTTTTGGATATTCTATGCCATAGTGGAATTATCGACCGATATCGCACTAAAAACACCCTGTATAAAAACATAAAAAGGCAAAACCTGGAATATCTGGAGAATCTCTCTCGTTTAATATATAAAAGATCATTTGAAAAATTTTACCTTAGGTTTTTCTTTTTGTTTATATTGTTGATTATGTAAATAATACATGAAATTTTGTAGTACTCCTTTCATAACCTCTTTTCCCTCCATGGGTCTTTCTGCTTGATAAGGCATTATCTAAAAGTAAGTGAATCTGTGTTAAAAATTTATCAAATTGACACTTAAATGTTATTTTTGTCAAATTCTCCATCAAAATTATCTCACTTCATTTAAAAAACAGTTTTCATACAGACTTTATATCTTTCAATGCATTCGTCACACAAAATGCTGAATAGTGTACACCATACTATAGAAATTATTTAAAATTTATCTTTAAATTAAGTTTTATAACGTTAAATCAAACTGTTTTTATTAAAATATGTTTTTTACTTGTAAACTTTACTTCGAGATACGTCAAAACACTCTTTCACTCTTTTTGTCTAAAATACACTCCGTTCGAAAGTACCTTTTCTGTAATATTCTCCTGGATAAAGATGTTAACTCTAGATTTTGGTTGGAAAAACGTTTGCCTCACATGAAAATACCACGGTTGACAACCTTTTTGGACAAGATGACGGATTAATGACGGATGAAATGTTTTTTATTCGATGTGAAATCGAATAAGTCGGCCGGTGAAGGAACGACATAAGTTTGGGATTTCAACAATAATGAAAGAGAAAATACGTCAGATAAATAGAGGATGTCAATGTCGATAGGTTTTCGTACAAGTAGCCTAGGGAAATTATCAAAAATACTATTTTTTTGAGAGTCACTGCAACAATTATCCAGCATTTGTTTTAAATTATATATGAATAGAATAACAAAATTTTAAGGGTTAATATCGCTTAGAAGCATTTGTATGTTAGTTGGAAATCTTACATACATCATTCATCTACTTAATTAAATAATAAAATCAAGTAAAATCACCTTCAAAAGTGAAATAAAGATATAGGCGGGATCTGTTTTGAATTGGACATTTTCCATAGGAAGCTATTTTTTTGCTGGAATCCCTTCAGGATGTGTCCAATATCGATAATCACAATATGCGCCAGTCGCAAACCCTGTGCTAAATTTTGTATTTAACAAAATCTGAAAAGAAATGAAAATTTGTCATTTTTTTGCTCCTATTTTCGTTTATAATTCGGAAAATATTGATCCTAGAGAAAAAATTATAACAAGTTAAAAGTTTCGTTATTCAATTTTACACAATATTTCGTTAGTTATAAATTGAAAATTTTATGTTTATTGTTGAAAAAATAGCAATAATTGGAAAAAAAATTACAAAAATGAAGTTAATCCTTTAAATGTTTTCGACTTTCTAAACTTGACTTACAAGCTTCATATTCCGCCTAGATAAACTTTTTAATATGTTTAAAACGTGTGCTAAATTTTGTTTCGGTCGGATAAGTTTTTCATAATAATTTTGCAATCCAGCCTACTGGAAAAAATCGCAAATTTTCAAATTTATAGTAGGCTCTAAATAAGGCCCTCAGATAGTTGCAAATTTTTTTACACATAAAGGAAGGCTCAAACTTTCAAACGCTTTTTGTAAAATTCAAATCGGTTCACTAGGAGAGCCTAGACATTTTTTAAAAGTTTTAAACATATCAATTTCAAAATTTATACACTTAAAGAACATACAAATTCGATTTTACAGTAATAAATTCGGCAAAAAGATTTGACAGTTTTCATTCTCTTATAATTACATCTACCCATTATGTCCTAGGACGGGCTCCAATGCTGGTATAGAATAAAATGTATAATTAATTTGTCAAATATGCAAACAATCGTTTAATTTGTCAAATATGCAAACAATCGTTATTACTAAGTACTATTTTGTTTCAGATTGGAGATTCCTTGTATGACAAAGAGGGAGCAAAAATCGTCAACAAACTCTTAGAAAAAGCCAAAGCCAACAACGTTCAGATACATTTACCTGTAGATTTTACTGTTGCTGATGGATTTTCCGAAACTGCTAAGGTAAAATAGATCATATAAATTTTTAAGGTTATTTCAAACCATCACTTGGTATTGTTGTTGATAACATCTTGTTGTTACGAATTCTAAATACAGTTTAGAAATTTACACAACAATGTATTGACATGCCTATCGATTTCGTCATTTTAGACTGATTCAGCTACCGCCGCAACGGGAATTTCTGACGGATGGATGGGACTTGATATTGGACCAAAAACCATCGAACAATTCAGGGAACCTGTCAGGCGTGCCAAAGTTATTGTTTGGAACGGGTGAGTAAAATATCCTTTCTAAGACCAATTTTTACTCATTTTTTTTGTATTTATAGACCTGCTGGTGTATTCGAATGGGATAAATTTGCTACAGGAACCAAGGCCATTATGGATGAAGTTGTAAATGCCACTGCCAAGGGAACCATCACTATTATTGGTAAGATAGCATTATATTTGCAAAAAAATCGAATATTCTTCGAATTTTTGGCCACTGTTTGACAGTTTTCATAGAAAAATTTTCTATTTTCTCTTTGGTCTTTCTAGAATGTTTTATTTCCTCATTGTTCTTTCTATTAACTTTTATTTTCTCTTCAGTCTTTCTAGAAAGTTTTGTTTTCTCTTCTTTATTTCTCGAAACATTTATTTTTCCATTGGTCTTTCGGGAAACGGTCGAATTCTCATCGATCTTTCTAGAAACTTTTATTTTCTCTTCGGTCTTTCTAGAAACTTTTATTTTCTTTTCGGTCTTTCTAGAAGCTTTTATTTTCTCATCGGTCTGTCTATAAATTTTTATTTTCTCTTCAGTCTTTCTAGGAACTTTTATTTTCTTCTCAGTTTTTCGAAAAACTGTTATTTTCTCTTCGGTCTTTATAGAAACTTTTATTTTCTCATAGGACTTTCGAGAAACGGGTGTTTTATCTTTAGTCTTTTAAGAAACTTTGATTTTCTAATTGGTCTTGCTATAAACTTCTTTCAGTTTCTCGTCGAAAAACTTGACACTTTTTCTAGAAGTTTCTTTGATCTTTTTAGAAGTTTCGCCGAATTATCCCATACTTGTCGAGTCTAGTGACTGGAATTCGATTATTTCTAAGTCTTTTGCTTTGGTGATGAGGTCCCTAAGGTCTTTTTTGAAGGAGCTTATTGGAAATACTAGAAATTTTATTTCCTCAAGCTCTATAAGAATAATCTTTGCCCGAACTTGCGAATTTTCGAAATCATTTTTAAAAATGGTCTGTACCGAAAACAAATCATGCGCTAAACGATCTTTCGTAAATGTTTTGCAGTCCCGAATACAGTTTACTGCAATGTCTTTACTATTATAATGTCTAGTACAATTGTTTTAATTGATAGATTATTTAAATGAATAATCCCACTTCTGACACCAATGTAACGTTTAATTAAATTTAATACATGGTTTATTTTATATACGACATTTATTTACAGCATTAGTTTATGTGTACAATTACTTCTTAAAATATATTTGCAGACTAACTCGCTAATAACCGAAATCGGCATTTAATAGCAGATTCTTTTAGTGTAGAACTGACTTGATATCCGCAGAGCTCTTGCGTTCGAGATAAATCATCAGTGACGCATTCTTCGGGCCACTTCTCGATATATCCCAGTTGTGATCATCCTAGACTGCCATTAGTCTGCTGCTTGTCAGTCATTACAATATTAATAAAAGTAGTTTAAATAGTCCAAAAAAATTAAAGCTCATTAAAATGTTTGATAACTTATAAGAAACTATTTTGTTTAGGTGGAGGCGATACAGCAACCTGCGCCGCCAAATGGAAGACTGAGGACAAAGTATCCCACGTTTCAACAGGAGGTGGTGCCAGCCTCGAACTGTTGGAGGGAAAAGTTCTTCCTGGAGTCGCTGCGTTATCTGATGCTTAAGAACCATCATCTTCAGACGTTTCTAGAAGAACTCAGACCAAACGATACTCATACATATTCCAAAGTCTGCATGAATCTGTGTTCAACACGGGAAGATGCGTTATCAAATTTGCGGTCTGAGGATAAATCCGTACAAAATTTTGAGTGTCTGTTACTGTATGTGCATAGAATGTTCCACAATTATTTATGTAGATATATTTGATTTGTTTTTGTCCTCGTTACACAATAAAAATATTATTTATCGATTGTTGATTTTTTTGGCATTTAGTGAGTCAGTAGTTTTTTATTATTTGACAGCTGAGGCGGCGAAGATTTATTGTGAAAAGTATGAGGGCAGTGTTGAAGAATAAATTCTTTTTTATGTTTTCATTTATAATTAGTTATAATTAACAAAACATCAACTTTATACTTTGCTGGCTTCTAGCTAGCACAGGTAAAATTGGGATTAAACCACACAAAAGTAGAAGACATGCTTTGTGGGATTTATTAATCTTAACACAACTGCTTTCAATACCTCTATCTATTTAACGCTGGCATTATCTCTTAGTTTGACTCAAAACGTTATAAAACCACGTACTTTGATTTGTCGTTTAAAAATAGATCAAATTAAAAGCCAGAGGGAACCAAATCCGGCGAATAGGGGAATGTTTCAGCAATTAATATTACAAATTGTTCAATTTTCCCTTGGTAAAACTCATTTGTGGTATAATGAAATCGTCCTTGAAATATCATTCTGGAGGAATTTCAAGATATCCATTGACCTCTGGCAATATCTCTTTGTTTGACTGAAAATATTTTCCAACCACATGCTTTGATGTATGATTTGACAAGATTTAAAAATAAATTCAATTGAAAGTCATAGGGAACCAAATCTGGCGAATAGGGGGATGTTTCAGCAATTTATACTACAAAGTTTTCAATTTTCCTTTGCTAAAACTCATTTGTGGTATAATAAAACACACACTTGAATCTTTTATAGTCCAAAAATAAGCAAACTGCCAAGCATCTTAAATTCGGCTGTTGTAGACAATTGTAGAGCTGTTGCAAGTCTTCGAGTTTGTGTTTAGATTTTGCTACAGAGGTTTTAAAGACTTGTGGACTATAAACTGGTGGAGGACGAATTAAATATTTTGCGACCTTGTAAGATGCATCTGTTGTTCATCGTAAGTGAGAGCGCCCTTCAAACAGGCGTGGCAAGTAGCAAATAGCACGCGTCTAGCATGTTACTTAAAATATAACCAATGAAAACGAGTGATTCAGCGCACACCAAAATGACAGTGACTTCATTCATTCTAATCATTCGTTTTCATTGGTTACATTTTAAGAAACATGCTAGATGCGTGCTACTTGCCACGCCAGTTTGATGGGCGCTCTCCCTAAGATTTCCAGTTCTGTAGAAATGTGCAGATTATTTCTGCTAACAGTAATTCGCCATTTGGATAAGTGGGCATCTCTGGAGTTATCACTGGTTGATGCTGTGATAACTCAAAATCATCATGTACTAGTACTAATCAAAATAAAAATGCATATTGTATGAAGTATTTTTTATTTCGGTAATACCTAAAACTAAACATAAATCAAATAAATTAACAGCAACTGTAAACAAGGTTTCCAATAGAGTACTTTCAGTAAGTATCAAGAAGTACTTACTACCAGTAGACCATTCACATAGACCAAATAAGCTACACAGATTTTTTGCTGTGTATAATTTTCGCTAGCTATTGGAATTCTATATTCAAGAATCAAGGGAGACTAACGTTAAAACACACCATCAGTATTACTACTGCCTTTAAATAAATAAATCCAGCAATCAACAAATCTGTGTAGTTGATCGTAACAAGAATTAACCAAACAAGACTGCAATGAAACCAAATTATTTGTTCTACATAGTTATACAATATATTATCAAGCAGCCGACTTAGAAGAATGAGATTTAGTATGATACAGTCTAGTGGAATACACAAACAACCTTCAAAAACAAACAAAATCATCGTGTAGTCTAGGTATTTATAATTCTTTATTAAATTAGAGCAATGCAATACTTCAGCAGACAAAAAATATGTAAGTATAACTGCATTTGAATAAAATTATCACATAAAAATTATATTGATAAATTAATAATATCTTTTCTTTCAGATCAAATAGTTAAATTGAGTTCAAACAAAGAATTAAGATGTTGGAGGAGCCGAATGCATTAGTCTTACAAGAATTAGAAACCAAAAACGTATTGCTTCAGAAATATGAATTGGCAATAAAAACGGTTTTTACTTCAGGACAAATCAGAAAACTTCTCAGTCCAAACAATACAAATATTCATTGGTCAGCAGAAGAAAATTATATATTATAACCAACTGTTTATTGGAATTTTAATAAATATAATACTATTTCTTTATTAAGGTTTATATCCAATTGTTACTATTCCTTTTATCTATATTTCTTTCTCAGATTATTCATTTCAGTATATCCTCTTAATGCATTATATTTTATGTTTTTCTTGGAAATTCATAGCATACAAGAAATATTTAACATATTCATTACTTTAAGTAAACACAAATACCATTTTTATAGATTACACATGAGTTTAAACTCGTATTATTAACTATTATTTACAATAATTAATATTTACGTTACAGTTTCAAATTCTGCTTCGCAAGTGACGTCACACTCTGTGAGAGCGATGCGCCTGCACATACCAGTGTAAGTGTATCGTGCTATGGTTTCATGAAATTTCATATACATGATGTTAAATGTAGGCAACCAATTATACAAATCATTATTTGATACCAGTTGTTCCTAGCGTTGATAAGAAGTGTCAGAATTGTTAAAGACTAGCACAACTTTGCAGATTTCGCCCAGAATAAATTAAGTCCTCCTTTAAAATATTGTAGGTTGGCCATGAAGTGCCAAGTGAAAGATATTTGTAGCCAGATAAGAACGACACTGTCCATGAAACGTGCTGTGATTCGTCTTCAGCACTAAAGCGATGAAATATATTGACATTCATCGCGAGATTAGTGAAGTTTACATTAAGAAAACATTAATAAGACGAAATTATACGGAAAGGGGCTATAGATTAAAAAAAAAAATGTACAAATTATAAAAAAAAAAGTAGAAAAAAACATGTGTTATAAAGCTTAGAAACGAAAATTTTCTCATGATGTACAGTTTACCTATTTGAATTTTCTTGAAAGACGCAGTACTGTGCATGTGTACTGTGTTTTGAAAGAGGAAAGTTATGGGTTCTTGCTCCCTGGATCTACACAGATTTTTGTTCGTTTTTAAATGGTTACACCCACCGGCAATTTTTTCTGAAAAAATATGTCTTTTAACTCTGCCAAAAATATTTAATATATTAAAATATGGTATAATTACCAGACACTCACACTAGTGAAATCTTTTTAACACTATTTCGTAATTGAGGATTACCATTTAACCCTGTAAAATAGGCAAGAGGTGGTCGAACACCTTTCTTAATACAGAGCATTCGAAAAAATATCACAATTATACTCGCTATACAGTGCAATTACAATATTATTAGTAAAACTATTCGTAAAACTAACAAAATAAAATGGGCGAATATTTTTTTGAAAGAAAAAAGAATTCCAAGTTTTAATGAATGTTTAAAAAGGTTTGTATTAAAATTGGACACCAAAACAATATTAGTGAAGAAGTATCTTAAATTGTTTAATGTTCTGATAAAAAGATAAAAAATAAGTTAAAACGTCAAATGTAGTCACTAGAGGACGTTAAACGCCAGTTACTGTCTCAAGTGTTTTTCTGATGAGAAACAGAATAAAAGATGAGCATAGTGAGCAAATTTAAATGAGAAAATAGATCATTTAGCAGCTTTTTTATTCACAGACATTAGGTAACCCGTTCATGGTGATTCCGTAGCGTTTTTAATCAAATAGAAATAATTGGCAAGACGCTTATACAAGTAGAAAAATATGTTTTACCTCAATCATTTTCCTTATTTTACAGCTATACATCGCAACCAGTGCAATCAAAATATAGTGAAAATATCTAGATATCAATTAGTGCCAATTTTAATACCAAGCCTATACAAATTAGATTTATGCACACCAATCTTGAGAACCGTTAAAAAAATCCAAATTTTGATGCAATAGTTGCAAGAACACGTAGTTACAGAGTGCATTAAACCAATTTGTTATTAACTCACTATATGAATGAATTGTCTACTTAATTCTAAAAGAAAAATTACTATCGGCTAAGGTTTGTCATATATATATGCTTCAATTCGGTCTTTGGTACGTTTTCGAAGAGAGCTGCGCGGTTTTGGCCTTCCCCTTTCTTCACCCAGTGACCATACACTCTGAATGCACAGCCGTCGACAATCTAAAAACAAAATTGACAAAATTATAATGGTGCAAGTTGGTTGATAATACGGAGGGCAATTCCAGCTCGCCTCCATTTTGGTGCACTTTGACCAAGACGCTAAAAACTCAAGGTACACATATGAAGGCAAGAAGAATAGCTGTCCATACCTCTTAGATGCCAATGCTACAAATGAAATTAGATTGAAAGGAAAATACAATTAGAAATTTTCAACATTGTGATAGTGACATAAAATGTCGTTTCTTTAATTTCAGGTAAAATTTTTATAAATAATGTAAATAGAATATGTTTTAATAAATATTTAATTTCAAAAAACTAGTTGTGTTATTAATCATCAAAAGGAACCTTTATATAATAAACTTTTCCAGTAAACCCTTTCTTGGCCCAGTCCATCATATATTTTTTTAATTAGCGGTTAAGTAACTATCGGAGACCTGAAGATGAACAGAAATTTGTAGTGTTTTGATATCACTTGGGTGTTTTCATCTTTTTGAATGTTTTCTTTTTATTAATTGCTGTTTCTCCTTGTCTAAATCTATTTTAACCAAGTTAGTAACATTCGCTGGTTATTGCCTACATAAAATTGATTTAAAACGGTCAAGTCTTGGATGATTTATCTTTTTCTACTAATTGTGTATTGTACGTGAAGTGCTCCCATTACTTATGTCGTTGTGACAACTGTTAGGAACTGAAATAAGACTCATATCCTGCTATAGCCGCTTTGATGAGCTCAGACTACTATAGCCACATTCTGTCGTGAAAACTTGCTTCAAGAACTTGGCTCGGAGAAGTATAAACATGAAAATGGAGAGAAGTATGAGTAGAAAAATGTTTGAAAAGTTAATACAGACGTCCGTTATTGATATGCTATGTTGATACAATTGTTGCAAAAGTAAATACCTGAGTTTGGTCAATTTAATACTGTTGTACCACTAGAACACTGTTCTCTCATACAATTCTTCGCTTTGGATGGTCTCATCAACGTAAAAACATGGACAACGTAGGTTAAAAGTAACGATTGACACCACTGTGATTATAAACATATAATGTGGACCATCATCGACCAGTCATCATACGAAATAATTAGATACAGAAAGAGAATAGAGAGGGAAAGAGGGAGCATCGTACAATGTAAACAAGAATGAAATATCACTAATTGTACAAAAAATTTCGATCGCCTTTTCCTGCATTTTTTTCAACTAAAAAAACGGTGGATTCGAATAAAAAAATGTTTGTAGTTAACTTGTTCTCCCTCAACCAATTCTTAACTAGTAGCTTTATTTATATCTTACTCGTAACTTACTTCAAGTACTCTTTCTACGTCGTTTCTTCTTGTAAGTTATTGACAATGTTTTTTTCCACCGGTGCTCCAACAGGTAATTTCCTCTACTATCCTCTCTAATAGGTCTCTTTCTTTTACTACACGGCACAGGTTTATTTTCAATACAGTATACTTGTTGTTGGGTTTCATTATGGTTTACTCTGTCCATCTGAATGAGACTCTACAACATCTCTAATATCAATTTCACATTTGAGTCAATGTTTTTTTATTTTCAATAAAGACCGAACTATGTGACAAGTGTGGCATACGTATAGATAATCCTCAATTCGATATAGCTCTTTTAAGACAACATTTGTCAACAAAGGAACAAAAATCGTACAGTAGTCTATGCAATAACAATGTCTTCGGTTGGGAGGTTAGTCATTTAGACACAAGAATTCGGGTAATTATAAGTCGAATAACATAACTTACTTTCCTTACAATTTTCTGCCTTTTAAAAGTACAAGAAATGAAAGAGAATAAAAGTCGAGAACACGGTAAAATTGTTTTGGTTACTTTTGCAACATACATGATTGTTATTTGTCAGAAATGTAATAATAAAATCCATAAACTAGGAGTGAAAACTTCAATACAAAGGTGCTAAAATGTAAATACGAGCAAAAGTTTGTAAAGACTATCGGACCTTAAGTGAGAGAAACAAATAGAGTCAGGCATGAACAAATGATGGAAGTGCTGAAGAAAACAGGGATTGACGGAAGAGACTTAAAAATAATAGCTTATCTATATTGGAAGCAATGAGCGTTGCTCCGAATAGATGGAGAATATACAGATCAGATCAAAATCTTAAGGGGAATGAGACAGGAGTGCAAAAGATTTACAAAGTGATATTCAATCTGTACTCGGAGCACAGTTTTGAAGAATTAATCAATACATTTTTCCTCCCCTGTATTCATCCGATCCTTAATAGTTCCACTGAGGCTCGGGAATACATCTCGTTAACAGAGAGAAGAGTTTTAGTCGTTAAGAGGGACAGACGCATCTACTAGTGACAAATTGAATTCGTTTTGTTCGTTGTTTCGTAAAGTAGTGATCATGGTAATTAGCGGTAAGTTCTTTACCTAGTTTTACCTGACCCTATAAATTGTTTTTGATTGTTTATTGCAACCATTTACTTTTTGATAATTATTTGCACCTATGAGTTAAAGTTCATTTATCTTGCCAGAGCTATCGAAGGAATAGTTCGCATTATTTAATTACTATTAATTCTCGTAATAGTACATTATTTGTTTAATCCCCACAAGAAGGATCCTGAAGATACCATGAACAGACAAAGTCACAAATGAAGAAGTACTACAGAGGATGAACACAACCGCGGATTTGGTCAACATCGTGAAGGACTGTAAGCTGCAGTACTTGGGACATATAATGAGAAATCAAGGCAGATATGAGCTACTCCAATGCATTTTGCAAGGTAAAATTAAAGGAAAAAGGGCCCCAGGACGAAGAATATTCTGATTGCTAACCTGAGAGTATAGTATAGAAAGACCTCAACACCGCTATTCCGTATAGCAACCAACAAAGTCATCATAACCAGAATGATCGCCAACGTTCGGAACGGACAAGAACTCCAAGAAGAAAAGTAGTGGAAATGTCGTAAAGAACCATCCCCACATCTCTTCCGACTTTGAGTTACGTGACATTATTCATTTTGTGTACTTCAAACACATCGTTTGATGTGTTTCAAGCTGCTAAATCGCGCTAGTGCAGCATTTAAGCTTGTACACCTGAGTAACTAACACAGCAATATAACAGGACCGTTATTTTTAATTATAATATCTTAGTGTATAATGGAGATTTTAACATATTTGTATACAGTATAAACAATGTATGATTGCCAAATTTTATCGATGTCTAACTGGAAATAGAGTACGTCGATTGAAAGATGAATATGCTTTTTTGAGCATCCCCAGTCTACTTAGGATCCAGGCTCTGACGACGAAATATGGTCCATTTCAAAGTGACTACAATCGCAACGCGTATTTGGGACTGTTCAGAACCTATCAGAGCGATTGAGGAAGGATGTAGACCCTTTTATAATAACCAGCATGACTAGACCGACCTACTTTATTGTCCTCTATTCACATGATAAACTGAATCTTAGGATTTCGGTAATTTAGTAAACATTGGCCAATTTAGTAAGTGACGCTAAGAAATTAAATCAATTTTGTTTATTTTTTAGCAGAATTTTTGGATTAGAAGATGAAACCCATTTTCATAAAATCAAATAAATTTCACATTTGGTATTAACTGTTGCAACAACCATGCCAACATAACAGAACAGTGATTCCATTTGTAATATTGCCATCTATGGACTACACCAATAACTTTTTTAACTGATTCGTATATTTAAACTTACCTTTCTTAATATCTTAAGACGGTATGGATCACTCCTAGCTACATCTAGACTCAACGGTTCTGGCGTGAACCTGAGTCTTTGGATTCTTATCATCGATCTTACGAGTAATACAACCGATTGGAACTTGCGTTTTGCGTTAAATTTAGTTTGTTCTAGTTTCTAAAAACAAAATAGGAATTGTTAGTAATTAGTAAAAAGAAACTGTTAAGAATTATTGACCAAATGTTTTGGTACATTAGTTACTGTCATCAAACGAATTTATTATATTGTCAACTCAATATTTCCCAATTGGTTATTATTGGAAAAGACAAGTCAAAAAATTTCAATAGTTTGAAGTTTTCTGATCTACGAACCTGAAATCGTACTAATGAAAAACAAGATTGTTAGGTTAATATCTTATACAATGGATGTAAAAGTTCATTCATAACATAATCTTCATAATCAACATAAACAACAGAATTCAATCGTTCACACAAAATTTAGCTAAGTTCAATAGTAATTCTATTTCCTTTTATCCTTGCCGTCTGCTATTTGTTTAATTGTAATTTGTTAAAATTGCAAGGAAGTTAAATTTTAAAATATAATATAAAGACGGTACTAGATTTTTGTTTCAATACAGAGCGGCGGCAAGCTGCTTATACGTATTTCGACCTCTTTAGATCTCGTCAGAGCGGTATAGTTTTGTTTCGATCCACAGAGGTGGCTATTTCGCTCTTTTTGACGTTAAATTTTTTATTGTAAAGCATTGGCAGGCTTGATTATTTCTTATTTTTAATAAATATGATTAGTTAAATAATTGTTTTACTTGCTATCAACATTTATGGTTTAATTCCTAGTTAAGACAAGAAGAATTCACACTTGAGAGCTAAGCGAAGCATAGACGATAAGCTCCCATGGTTGAGTTAGGTACTTATTATTTTTATAATAGTATTTTAATTCTCTTTGGTAGTCTTATCGTTACACATTGGCGCCCAACGTGGGGCACGCGTATGGATACTCTATTCGCCATAGCACTCACTAAATATAGCACACAATCGAAGATTTGACAGTTGACATGACAGCTGACGGATGCGAAAAAGAAAATGTGACAGGCAAAAAGAAGAACTGTTACAGGAAAAGAAAAAAAGGACGTCTATGGGCGAGACTTGAGCGTGGTCTGTGACGTCGGCGGACGGGGCTTATGGTGTACGAGTGAGAGTGAAGGGGGTGTCCCAAGTAGCCCATATTCTGCTACTATAGTCTCCACGCAACGCACCGCTACACACTAACCACGAAAATATTCCATTCCGTGTCTTCGGCGAGTTTCTGTGTGAAGCGACGTGTTGGATTTCCGTAAAGTGCGCGGTGATTCATTTAAATACACAAAGTCATTAAATTGCTGATCGTCGCGGTGCATTTCATTGCAGGCCGATTCGGAAAAGTGTGCGCTTACCTTTAATGTCAAATTTTATGGATCGATAATGTGCAAGAATAATTTCTATATCTTTTTTTTAACAATTAAAGTATTACAAATCTAGCAAGGTATTCTAAAAAATGAACAAGAATCGGCGTTAAGGGTGCTGGAGTATTTTGAATGTGAAACACAAATTCTAAGACCTGTTGCAACTTTTTATAAAGCTAGTTTAAAATTTCTCTAAATTGCAACAGTACAGGGAGAACAGACAACTTAGTCACCTTGGCAAAGTTTTAAAACAATAATTGTTTTATGATACTATGACTAAGAAGATAAGATATTGCGCATAAGTCGTGACGTCATAGGAGAGTTGCACGTTCGAAATGTCAGTTTTTTGTATGGATCAATAAATAATATTTAATAAATAGTTTGGAGATATCCTTATGTATACGATCATTGTAATTATTAAAAACTCTTAACTTATTTTCGTCTAGTAATTTCATCACAGAATGTATACAAATCCCATTTAACTTTAACAATAATTCAAACTATACTCTCCAATGACGGCATGCGCGAACACGACCGCTTTTATGCTACGGGAAGATCCTATCTTGCTAGTCATAGTATCATGGGTAAAATTTTTATTTTTACCTACCCCTATATTTTTTTCCATCCATTGTATGAGAGTTTAACCCAAGAATTTCTATTTCTGTTAGTAGTACTACAGAAAACTTATTGAATAAAAAGAGCGCACATTATTTTACATACAGAGTGGAACAAAAGTCTGGAAACTACTATTCTGCAATATGGAGACTTCAAATTTGATGCTTGCAATGTTGCCAAATTTACCATTTTCCCGATATCATTATTCACTTTGTTTTTATTAATACAACACTGTCTATATTGTATTATTATTAAAATCTTCAACTTCAATATGAGTTAAACCGTATATAATACTTGATATTTAATCAAGTCACAAAGATTTTAAATAAATAAAACTTGTCAGTGCCAAAACTATTGGGTTTCCAGACTTTTGGTTCTCTCTGTATATGTGTATGGACAGTGTGAAAAATACAAAATGGAATCGGATGGTATACTTGTTTTTATAGATGTATTTTAATACTAAAAATCAGTAAGCAGCTACAAAAATACTTATACAGCTACGTTTTAGACAAAAACAATGACGGTTAAAGACTATATATACATATTTTAAGCATCAAAATCTGGAATATGAATTATTTAACCCTCTCTAAGAAGAGAGTGCTCCCAATGTTCAACAAGACAAGTCTATATCGCTGTTTCTCTCTCTCCCTCTCTCTCTCTCTCTCTTTCTCTCTAAAAAGAGTATGCACCTAACATTCAAATAGACAAATCAGTATCGTTATTTCTCTTTCTCTAAGAGGAGAGTGCACTCGATAGCCAACTAGACAAATCGCTATCAGTATTTCTCTCTCTAGAAAGAGTGTGCACCCTAAGGGGATTAAATCACAAAAATGGACTTAAAACACCAAGAGCTAGTAGAATATGAAGACAGATCTAAACGCTCTGAAAGTCTGAGGAGATAGCGCATGATAAGGCTTAATATGATACTTTTTCTTGCTCATATAATAAGACATCTATCAGCAAAGACTATCGATTTATCAAAGACAATAATCTAATCCCATATTTGGATTCAATAAAAGTCTTCCCAACCCAAAAGGCAGCTTCCGAATTACCAATCTTTTGTTTGCCGGTTTGCCCCGAGAGGCGCATCAAGACCGGATTTAAGAATCATAGCACTGGAATATACGTGCACACAACTGTTGTGAGTTGTGAAGCATGATTCAATCATCGATATATGTATAAATAAGAGAATTACATTGTCGAACTAAACAATAACATGAAGAAAAATACTATAAAAAAGTAAAATATATCAAAAACTCATTGTCCATGGAATGGATGGAAAGAAAAGATATCATATCCTGGAGACTCAAGTAGCTCAGACAAATAAAAACAATGAGGAAGAAAGATAACGTAAACCATATTCATATCGATGAGTCTTGGACTAACGTCAGTGCTTTAATCAAAAGGGGAATGGAGAGATCAAGAATCCATGAGATGCCTTCATAAAAGGGCTTGTTACTGGATTGAAAGCTCCAACCCAAAGAGGTTCTCGGTTTGTTCTTCTTCATGCTGGAAGCGAAACTGGTTTTGTGACATGGGCCGAACTAACTTTCTTGGCCCAGAAGGGAACCGCTGATTACCACGACGAAATGGGCAGGGATCTAAAGAATGGTTTGAGAAGAAGTTAATTCCAAACTTGTCGAAAGACAAAGAAAACGTTGTCGTTTTTGATAACGCGTCATACCACTCCCGCTAATTTGATTTCCCGAAAAAATTGTGGAACAAAAGTGGATTGGCTAATCGAAAAGAACAATTTCTTCGAGGAAGATTACCTAAAAAGTGAGTTACTGGATATTGCGGCCGCATTTAGAGACGAGTGCGACAAGATTGCGTGAAAAACATTTCTCAATCTATCGCCAAACTAACACACACCTACCACTGTGCCGACACGAGCGGCATCACTGCACGTCATAAGATCAACACTGCATTCAAACTGTGGTTTCTACTATAATACATGACTATACGTTAAAGAAAGTACAAAAGCTGCAAAGGAACACAAAATACGAATCGTTGTAAGGAGTTTGAATATAAGTTAGTTTAATATTAAATTTAGCAAATAGATATATATATATATATATATATATATATATATATATATATATATTATAATATATATACTCACCGGCAAAATTAACGGAACACCTTAAAATTGGGACATGTTAGATGTCTCGAATTTCCTAAACCTGTTGTCCGATTTTAGTGATTTTTTTAGTATGTTATAGGTATATTATTTAAGAATATCGATGTAATAATATTGTTGCTAGACAGGTCAATGTCATTTTATACCGCGTGTAACAAACCTACTGTGTTTTTTCCTTAAAGTTCGGAACACCCTGTGGAATATTCTAGCATATATAAAATATTGAAATTAAAACTTAATTATAGCCTCAGGCTTTCTTAACATTTTCTTTTTTGATTCATTTGCTTATGTTTGATAATAAAAAAGTTAGGTACGTTAACAATTAGCCATGTTAATCAACAATAAATCCTCATTTTCTGCTTAGTTTAAAAACAAGCCTAAAGTAGGCTATGAGAAGTTAACAATTTAATGCACACACCGGCAAATTTAAAGGAACCTGTTATTAATGCAATATTTCTTTATATTTGTATTTTATAGACTATATCTACATTAGCTTTGAAAGCTCCTTGTCACAAGAAAGTCTTAAATGTCAAAATGTCAAATTAATTTGTTTATTTGTATTGTGTTTTACATTTTACAGTCATTCTGTCTGTTCATAACAAGTACAAACTTGTATTTAATTGAGCGCACAATAAGAAAGAGACTTAAAGAAGCCGGTCTCAAGTCATATGTGCCAATAAAAGCTCCCAGACTCCAGAGACACCATCGTTTAGCACGACTACAATTGGTCGAGTACATCAAAATTGGAATGATAACCACTGGAGTCAAATTCTCTTTACGGACGAGAGCCGTTTCTGTGTAAATTACATCGACGGTAGAGAAAGATTGTATTAACGCCAAGGAGAACGAAATGACCCTTTCAATTTTACTACGACCGTACCTTTGGTGGAGGTTCAATTATGGTGTGGGGCGGTATATGTTTGGGAGCAATAACAGAGTTAGTGGTGATTGATGGTGGAGCATTAACAGCAGATAAGTATATCAGAGATATTCTCCAAGACCATGTGGTACCTTTTTCACCATATATTGGCGAAAATTTTATTTTATAGTGTAAGAGTGTAAGTGTAAGATATTTCTTATTACAAGTGGGTATAACAACGATGAATTGGCCATCTTGTTCCCCAGACCTAAACCCGATAGAGGATATGTGGGACATGCTAGGCAGAAAACTTAGGCACCGGGTTCCTGCTATTCAAAACAGAGAAGAAGTCGCAATTGCAAAAAATTGAGGAATGGGAGAGGCTGCCCAACAACTGATCGATAGCGTTATCAGAAGTATGAGAAGACGAATAACTGCAGTTGTAAGGGCTCGTAGGGGAAACACACGCTATTAAAGCCAAAAAAATGCATAAAAAAACAATTTAAGTTCAAACTGTACAATAAAGTTAATGCATTTAAAATCCGTATTTTGTTGAGTCTGACATCTTTGTGTTTTATTTCTTCTTAAACAGGTTTTATATTGTACTACCATTGTAATATAAATTCAAAATACTTCACCAACATTCGTATTATGATATTATCTAAACAGTATATAGACTAGAGAGAAAATACTCAAATTTTATGGTTGTTCCTTTAAATATGCTGGTGAAACTAAGAAGAAAATGAGCATTTATTGATGAAAAACATGGCTAGTTGTTAACGTACCTAACTTTTTTATTATCCAACACAAGCAAATGAATCAAAAAAGAAAATGTTAAGAAAGCCTGAGACTATAATTGAGCTTTAATTTCAACATTTTATATATGCTAGAATATTACAAGGTGTTTCGAACTTTAAGGAAAAAACACAGTATGATTGTTACACCCGGTATAAAATGACGTTGACCTGTCTATCAACAATATTATTTCATTGATATTCTTAAATAATATACCTATAACATACTAAAAAATCACTAAAATCGGACGACAACAGGTTTAGGAAATTCGAGTCATCTAACATGTCCCATTTTTAAGGTGTTCCGTTAATTTGCCGGTGACTATATATAATATATATATATATATATATATATATATATATAATATATATATATAATATATATATATATATATATATATATATATATTTAAAGAATCTACAAAATGCACGAGAATTTTAAAAGCAATTTTCATAAAACAAACATATGACAAAACTGACATAATGAACGTAGCCGGTTTCATAAAACGCATACACCTTACGCAACTACGTTTGTAGTACAAACATAAAAGAAAACCCCTTTTTTAATCCAAATATTTAAAAGTTCCGAGATTTTGATTCTGCGACTTTTAACACATATAGCAGTGCAGATTAGTCGAACATAGAAGCTGCTAGAAATTTCAAAAAAAAAAACTTATTTACCGGTGTCGTATCAGACACGTTTTCTTTCAAAATGCTTTTCAATACACTTATATCCTGATCCCACAGTTGCTGAAATATTACGATGGAATAGTAAATTAGTAAATATCATGCAAAAATTTATACAAAAAAACATAACAGATACAATGAATTTTATCATTTCTTCTCATTTAGTTCATTTTGGAAGTTCTCTATTAAATAGATAATTTTTATTTGTACTGGAAATTTTTGTAATGAAATAAAAATAATTCCAGAGTGGTATAAGTAAAAAGGAATTAAAATTTTGAGTTATTCCATTTTTTTTTTCACTTTATTAGGTTGCTAACTGTTATTTGACATAGTGATTTAACTCTAATTTTTATTACGACTGGTAGAGAACATTCAGGTGTTTTTAATAGAAACGGAAACTATGTTTTTGCAATAAGAATAGTAGTAGGCTACCTTCTTGATTTAAAATAATTTGATGTAAGTACAATTATTATTTTTAAACATCTTATTTGGCTTATATAATATTTAAATTAACTGTTCAATGATTTTTATTTAAATTTTTTATAATTTGACAGGTCTGTCAGAAGTAAACAACATATGCTTTGTTAATACGTTACCAGGTGGCGTTGGGAGCAAACATAATAATTTATTGTATTATTTTAATACAATGTAATTTGTTTAAAATGTAAATAATAAATAAATAATAAAACTACTTGATGTGATATTAACCTCCTTGGTATTGCCTGGCTGTAGACTTCTAATATTGTAGGCAACTTATGCTGTCAGTGTTTGACAGAAGTCACTGTCACTGCAATGCTAATTTTATTGTTTTGTTAATATTATGTGTACAATTTTATGTTGATTAAAACCTTATATCCTAGGTTTTGCTTTATCATTTCAATTTAATCAACATAAATGGAGAAGTATCTAAGACCCGAGAGGTTCGACGGGGATTCATCTGTGAAATCAACAGCAAAGGAATGGGACCATTGGAAAAGAACTTTTATGAACTTTTTAGCTGCCCATATTGTGACTCCCGCTGTTTCTGCTGATGGTGCTGCTGTACCACCCCTAGATATTAATGATACTAAGCTACAACTATTAATAAATCATATTTCTCCACGAGTTTATACATATATAAGCGATTGTAACACTTACAATGAATCCATTCAAACTCTTGACAAAATATACATCAAACCAAACAATACTATTCCATGCTCGTCACATACTAACCACTAGACGACAACAGACAGATGAGTCTATCGATTCTTACATGCAATCTTTAAACAGTTAGCAAAAGACTGCAAATTTTACTGCTGTAGATGCTGATACTAATAAAAATGATACAATCCGTGGAGCTTTTATCGCTGAATGTCATCCACAAAGATACGATCGAGATTGTTAGAGAGTTTAACACTAACTTTAGAAGAAACTTACAATATAGCTATTTCAATGGAAATGGCAGAACTCAACTCTCAGGTTTATTCAAATCAACATTCAACACTTAGTGCTCTACCTGGTACCTATCAATTTGAGTCACAGAGCTCTCCAACAAATTCTGAATGTGTCACCTGTGACAGCTGCTACCAACTCTACTAACTCTTCTAGGTCAGGACACAAATGTTTTTTCTGTGGTGGGCCAATACATTCAGAAAGAACTGTCCTGCTCGAGAATCCATCTGCAAATCCTGTAATAAAAAGGGACACTTTGCAAAGGTTTGCCGCTCCAAGAGCACTAGTGCATCTGCCAACATATTTGAAGGCTATGATAACTGCACAGCCTGCATTATTGCTGCTACTCCTGCTTCATTGAAGAAAGCTATAGTGCCTGCATCTATAAAAGGCCTTCGAGCTGAAGCTCTTATAGATACTGGTAGCTCTGTCAGTTTTATTAATGAAGACTTTGCTAATCTTGTGCAAACTCCCTAGGAAGCCTTGTACTCAGACTGTTTCTATGGCCTCATTATCACACACCTCTGCAGTTAAAGTGTGACTACTCAAAATATTACAATTGGTGACCACTCGTACGACAACATTAATTTACTTATAGTTAAAAATCTCTGTGCTGATATAATAATTGGTCATGATGTTCTATCTAACCACTCAAGTCTAGAATTTGAATTGGAGGACCTAAAGAAGTATTCAAGGTATGTAGTGTAGTTGAAGCCTCAGTACCTGCAGTTCCTTTATTTTGTAACCTGACTTCAAATTGTAAACCTATCGCAGTAAAATCGCGCAGGTATAGTGCTGAAGATCAGATTTTTATTAAAAATGAAATAAAGAAGCTTTTAAATGATGGAATTATGAAGAAAGTCAGTCCCCTTGGAGAGCACAGGTGCTTATCACCAAAAACGAAACTCACAAGAAGCGACTTGTCATTGATTATTCTCAAACAATTAATCGATTCACTCAACTTGATGCCTATCCACTGCCAAATATCGAGGAAATGGTGTCCAATGTATCACAATTCACTGTCTTTAGTGCAATAGATTTCCAAAGTGCATACCATCAGGTTCCAATACTTCCACATGAAAAGATGTACACAGCTTTTGAAGCCACTGGGAAACTATATCAATTTTGTCGCATTCCGTTTGGTGTTACCAATGGTGTAGCCAGTTTCCAAAGAACAATCGACTGGCTCATACGTACAGAAAACCTTGAAGGTATATATGCCTACCTTGATGACATAACTGTTTGTGGTAAGACGAAGGTAGAACATGACAAAAATCTTGAGAACTTTCTGAAGGCCACAGACAAATATGGCTTGACACTAAACAAAACCAAGAGCAAATTCAATCAAACAGTAATAAACTTACTTGGTTATACTATAGGACCAAACCATGTCATAAAGCCCGATGCTAGCAGACTACAACCCTTATTAAAAATGCCTCCTCCGAACGACACTGCATCTCTCAGAAGGGTATTAGGTATGTTTGCCCATTATTCAAAATGGATTCCCAAATTTTCCGAAAAGGGTCCTACACATTAGCTCATGTCAACAATTTTCCGTTGAACGAAGATGCTTTATCTTGTTTTGAAAATCTGAAAATCAATAGTTGCAAAGTCATCTGTTCACCGCTATCAACGAAAATATGCCATTTGTTGTTGAAACTGATGCTTCAGAACACTCAATTGCTGCTACCCTTGAGTCAGGATTCCAGACCCGTTGCTTTCTTTTCAAGATCACTTAACCTCTAGTGAGCTGAACCATTCTGCTGTGGAGAAAGAAGCATACGCTAATTGTTGAATCTCTAAAGAAGTGCGCGCCATTTCTTATAGGAAAGCCTTTCACAATTAATTACTGATCAAAAGTCTGTAACATTTATGTTTAACACGAAGCATTCCAGCAAGATTAAAAATGGAGAAAATACAAAGATGGCGACTTGAATTGGCACCTTATAAATAAGACATTGTGTTATCGACCAGAAAAGACAACCAAGCAGCGGATGCTTATCGCGCATCTTGTTCTTGTGCTACTACCACGGGCGGCAGGTGCATCAAAACTCAAGTCACTTCACAATTGCACTTTGTCATCCAGGGGTAACACGTTATGTTTCATTGGATAAAATCGAAGAATTTGCCTTTCTCTCTCAATGAAGTCAAGACTATGACTCGTGACTGTGGGGTATGTGCTATAAATCAAGTGCCTTCAAATACCAATAATCCGTTATATTCTTACGGTAATAGATGAGTATTCCAGATTCCCATTTGCTTTCCCATGTAGTGACATTAGTGCCAAAACAGTAATCAAGAATTTAAATAACTTATTCATGATGTTTGGAATGCCTGCATACATTCATTCGGATAGAGGGACTCAATTTCTATCAGCTGAAGTCAAAGAGTTTCTCAACTCCAGAGGAATCGCAAACAAGTAGAACCACTGCTTATAATCCTCAAGGAAATGGTCAAGTGGAAAAGTTGAATTCTACTGTCTGGAAAGCTATTCAAACTGGCCTGTGAATCACATGAAGCACCTATTGAGACTTGGGAACAATACCGTACCTGTCGTGCTGCAATTCCATTCGTTTCACTGTTGTGTACCGCAACTAACTGTAACGCCGCATGAAAGGATGTTCGTGCACACACGTCGATCTCCAAATGGGAATACAATACCGTCAATGGTGACAATACAATACAATGATGAAAAGGTTCGATCGGAAAACAAGTACCCAGCCTATCGTAGAGGAATGGAGGTAATAGAGGCAAATCCTGAATACTCTTTTGTTAACTGAAAGAAGGACGGGAAACCACAGTGTCTAATCGTCATCTGGCTCCGAGTGGACGAGGTGAAGGGGAATACTAGATATACCAGGTCAAGAATCAGTGTTCGTAGAAGACCCACGTGAGTTACATATCGAATCTTAATGATTCCTCATCAATACAACCACTGCAAAACATGCAGCCCGGCAGATACATCTACATCTCCCCCTCCACGGATTCAGTACTTCTTGAAGAACCCCCAATGAGTATCCGAACAGAGCTTAACGTCCCTTCCTTCAGCACTACCTAGAAGATCTGAAAGAATTCGTCATTTACCACGGTATCTGGAAGATTATAGTGTGGGAGAATGAATGTGATAATAACCTCCTATGTATTGCCTGCTGTAGACTCTAATATTGTAGGCAACTTATGCGTCAGTGTTTGACAGAAGTCACTGTCACTGCAATGCTAATTTTATTGTTTTGTTAATATTATGTGTACAATATTATGTTGATAAAACCTTATATCCAGGTTTTTGCTTTATCATTCTCACTACTTTAATTAATTTTATAAATATTATTTAAATTTTTAAAGTACATAAAGCATAGTATGAAGCGCTTCGTACTAGTCTATAGTACTGACTACTGTACCAAGATCATCATTTTGGCTTTACAACCCTGCGTGGGTCCTAGCCTCCTCAAGAGACTGAACTTAGGTACGTAATAGAATTTAATATTTAACATGTTTTATTATAAACAGGGCATATTTCCTTATTAATTATTAAATATTTAATGTTACTTAATATTTTGTACAGTCTCTATTTTAATCATGTATAAACCAAAATGGATTAACTATGTAGTGAATAAAAATTTGGATACGTTCACCTGATTGAAAAATATAAGTAGCGGTAAGAAACACCACTTTTAAATTAGCAGATGTTCAAGAGATAGCAAAAGCCAGGCTAAATGAAATTACATACAATACTTGTTGAAGAAGAAATGATAAAATATATTAAAGATCATTCTGGGTAAATGAATTCATTAAATATGTGAGCTATCTTTACTTACCACTGTCTGGAAGAAGGGATGCTGCAGAGCATCTTTAATACCTATTCTATCTTTCGGATTTACGACTAACAATTTTCTAATTAAGTCCTTTGGCGCATCTAAAATTAAACACAACTATCAATATTTTAGACAAGACAGAAAAATCAATTAAACACAGTGTTTCCCTTTAGCGCTATCCGTACATTATCCCTCTATTTCGTCTTACAGTTAGGACTAATTTAGAGATAGTGGAAACACTCCCGATCAAGGCGCAGTAGACGAAATTTGGTTTAAAATAGAACCTTTCTGCCTCTACGTGATTTTGACTCCGCCTTCACGCAGCTCCATGGTCAGACGTGTTTGCACTATCTTTACAATATTCGAATCTAAGAACATCGAAGATTTTCTTTCCATTACGAAATTCACAGAAACTCGTCCCTATACCTCAATCGCTCGTAAGGCTATCTCATATATCAAGCAATACCAAGTCAAAAAATATGCTAAAAAGTTTGTTGTATCTACTCCACCCAGCACGAAGAAACATATGGTTGTGAGATACCCGTGATTGCGGCTCTGTGTTATTAGAGAAATCCAGAACTCTCCCGTAGCCAAAATAATCCAAGAACTCATTCCATCGATGCAGAGATGACTTTCGAGAATTTTCCCGATTATTTAACTGTCGCTCAGCCAGCTGTTCCGAGATAGCTTGTTCTCATTATATGAATAAGTAGAAGCAGGCTTTGAAATTATAGTGAAAGTTAGCGGACTGTGCTGCGAAGAATGGGGAAAAAAAGAGAAGTGATGTATATGATCAAAATGAGAAAGTTAGAATATCTCGGACACATAATGAGAAACGGCAATACAGATTACTGAAAATAATCCTTCAAGGCAAAGTATTCGGAAAGCGAGGAATTGTGAGAAGAAGAATATCGTGGTTAAAAAACCTGAGGAAATGGTTCTCCACAACAACAACTAATCTATTTAAAGCATCAGTTAATAAAATAATTATAGACAGAATGATCGCCAATATTCGAAACAAATAGGCACCAAAAGAATATTTAAAGGGTTGTTCAATGTTTCAACAAATATGAGCCTGTTTAGTTATAACCGTATAGCTTTTGGTATTTTATGTGCCTCCGGTAAATTCATCTATACCTAATCTTTTAGTCACAGGTTCAAGTAGAGTTAATCTTGTTAAAGTAGAGTTACAGGAAAATTTAGAGTTTAATCTATTTTAAAAGATGCGGGATTGGCAGTAAATTATAACAAGTGTACTTTTTTTTACAATATACATTGTAACAATAAAAAAAACAACTAGAAAGATTTTAATTATATTATTTGATTGACTTACCTGATATATCGGCCCATTCCGGAGAAGAAAACGAGTACTTTCCTTCCATAATATTCCTAAGCATCACCATTTGCTTCCTATGCCAAAACGGAGGACATCCCACCAACCTAAAAGATAGTATAAAACAAGGTGACTTATATTAATGAACTGCAACCGAAATATAACTAAAATATTGCTTCATAATCGAAATTTGGTTTTGAATGGCACTCAATTATCTGCAGATAAAATTAAAACAAGTGCTCCACTGATCATAAGTACTCTATCATAATTGTATATTAATTAAAATTAAATGCAAGATTGCATAAACACTTTAATTTTTCGATTTGATACCGTGAATAAATTGATCTGTGGGTTGAAAGACAGTGAGGTGTTTGCTTTAAAACTTGACCAAAGTACAGATGTCTCCGAGTTATCAATAATGCTTGTTTTCTTGAGATACCTCTTCAAAGGATCAATCGAAGAAGATTTGAAATGAAAAAATTCGAAAACTATTTTATGAAGAAGATTTGTTTCTCTATACACCCTTGGAGACCAACACAACAGGAGAAAAATTTTTAAATTCATTGATAATTATATGACTAAACACCATATTGACTGGAACAAATGTATTGACGTGTGCAGCGACGGAGCTGCAAAATAAAAGGAACTGTAACAAGAATAAAGAATATTGCACTCAATTGTAGTAGCAGTTACTGCGTTCTGCATCGTCATGCACTTGTCGCGAAAAAATTGCCATCGGCTTTAAAGAAAGTTCCCGATCAAACCGTACGAATTATTAACTACGTTAAATCACGTCCGATCCAGTCGAGGCTTTTTAAAAAAGCGTGTGAAGAGGTAGAAAGTCAGCACCAATCACTTTTGCTACACGGAAGTAAGATGGCTTTCAAACTTTCTTTGCTGAACAACCCATTTCTGTATCTGTTAGTACGCTTGTTGAACAATTGCATGATGAGCAATAGTTGATGATACTGGCTTACTTAGCTGATATATTCGATAAACTCAACATATTCTGCCAGTCCCTACAAGAAAGAACAGTAACCACATTTACAGTAAAAGACAAAATATCCTCACTTAAAAACAAAATTTGCTTCTGGATAAAATGTGTGGAACAAAAAAATTACCAATGTTTAACTCTCTTAAATAACTTCCTGGAAGAGAATGAGTTAGGAATAACCTCAGATGTGAAAAAAAAACATAATTGAACATTTAATTAACCTAGAAAAATCCTTGAACGATTATTTTCTGGAGAAGTTACAGAACATCGACTGAGTTGAGAATCCATTCACAAAACATACCAAGACATTAAGTGTTCATCCCTTCTAAAACCAAAATTCGAATCAGAAGTTTCTAATCTTCTAATGATGCAGCTCCGGATCATTGTATTCAATTGTCAGACATTAAGCCCAATTTTATTACTATTATAAGAAAATGTGTGAAAAAATTTCATTCTTCACATTGAAACAGTTATAGTTACTCTCTTACAATGTAATTGTATTTATCTTTGTATAATAAATATTTGTATTCCTTATATTTTTTTCATTCATAATTTCTTCCTTCTTTTACAGTCTTACATGAAAAATGTTCAAACTACAAGGTAATTTCTTTATCAAAATAGGGTTCCGTAAAAACAATTGTCAATTAGGGTTCCGAGACAAAAAAAAAAGGAACCCTTGAAGTAAGGCAGCAATGTAATAGTCATTACTAAACTTAATCACTTAATCAATCCAGTGATCTAGTACTCAATTACTCATCTTAGTTACTTACTGAAGTATTTTTCAATTAGGTTAAGTAAGTGTTTATTCCAATACATTAATTAATTCATTAAATAAATAAAAAGATCTGTAATCCGGCTTGATAGATTGCGGTCTAACAACTATATTTTAAAATTGAATGAATGAAGGCATACTTACAATGTATACATTATCACACCACACGCCCATCTAAAACCAAAAAAATAAAGTTAATAAAATATACTGTCTTTTCTCAATTTTTTCGAACCTACATATCCACTTCAAAAGAATAACCTGGAGCATCTTCCAGCATATTACACCTAAGAGTCTCTGGAGCTAAATACCCTGGCGTACCGCACAAATCTAAAAAGACAAAAGTACTATAAATCATTTAGTTAAGATATTAAAGTTTATAAATGGCGCATAAAAAGACCAAGATCTTTACGAAGAGAAAAAGTTGGGAAAATCACAAGAAAGTTATTACTGAAAATGTTGTACAAAATAATATTAAAATTTATAAAAAGAAAGTATAACAAAGAAGAAAGACCTATATATGGCATATAAGTAAAAAAGAAAAATATTATAGTAGAAGAATTATCGTAGAAAAAAAATATTTATTTTATTAATACTTTATAAAAGCTTAAACATTTATGTACTTACCATGTAACACTTCGCCTTCTTTTAGAACTTTCGCAAACCCAAAATCTGTAATTTTCACATTTAAATTGTCGTCTAACAAAATATTTTCTGGTTTTAAATCTCTATGTACAATTTTCATTGAGTGTATGTGCTCAACACCTTCAAATATCTGCTTCATTATATACCTGGTCTTCTTCTCAGAAAGTGCAACAACTGATGTCAAATAGTCAAACAGTTCGCCATTTTTGCACAGTTCAAACACAAGGAAAATGAAAGTTGATGATTCAAAGACATCTTGTAGTTCAACTGAAAAGAGAACAAGTATAAAGTAGACACAAGAAAAGTAGTTTCTGTTTATTTAAAAATCAATTGTTTATTAATTACTATTTAACTGGGAATAAGCCACAATTAAAGATAAAAATATGTTTATTGACGTTTCAATTTCCACTTCGAAATCGTTCTCAAAATACAAACAGTAAATTAGTCAATAAACGTATTTTTATCTTTAATTGTGGCTTATTCCCAGTTAAATAGTAATTAATTTACAATGCCACAAGAAAATAGCTTCAGAACAATATCAATTGTTTAGTTCCGTTAAAAAAAAAATAATTTTTTTACAACAAATCAGCACTCAACAAATAAATAAAGAATAATTTTGGTCAAAATTTTCTCAATTCTGCCATTTTCTCCATTTTAAACAAAAATGTAAAATATGCTTTTAAAATTTACTGAAAATTTAAATTTCTTGTCGTGTTAAAAGGGCCTCTGACAAATTAACTGATAATATACTGCTAAACAACTCACCAAGTAAAATATAATACCTCATGTTAAAATAATTCAGGATTTTTAAGAAAACAAATCCAACATTTGCCATTCACATCTCACCAAACACTGTACCAAAATAGATCAACTTGTTTATACATACTTAAAAACAGTTGCATTGTTTACAATCCTAAAAATGCTTCACCATCATAGAAAATTACCAACATAGGTAAAAAACATAAAAACATTGCCAGCTTCTTGTTTATTTTTATGATGGAAAAATAATTCAAAACAAATTTTATGTCAATAACAACACTACTACAAAGTTTATTAACCTCTATGCCAGAGATGTGATTCCTTGTATCAGATTATTTAGCAATAAATATTTCCATTAGATAATATATATATATATATATATATATATATATATATATATATATATATATAATATATATATATTATATAATATCTGTAAATTTGGTCAAAATAATCAAAATATTGTGAAGTTTTAATGCAGCAAACTGCTGATCTTCCTGACTTTAAGTTTGGTGACAGAAAATAGTCACAAGGGGCTGAATCTGTCAAATATGGTGGCTGCTAGAACACATTTGTAACTCAATTAGTATAATTTCAATTGTGTAACAGCCATCTCATGAGCAGGGCCATTGTTTTATGATGGGAAAGATTTTTTTACAAGAAAGTCTCAATTTGGCATGGAAATGGTCCAATAAAACTGAATAGTACAAGTCATTTAATATTCTATCCAAGTAATCAATATGGTTCCACATCACTATAATCAATCACTCTCACATTTCTGGCCAATCAGGGATCTTCATCTTCTTTGGTGGGCCTTATAAATTACACAATATTTTTTAAATAAATACAGAAGGATATTTACATTTAACAAACATTTCTTAGGAATTTTGGAGCATTTTTGATGTTTGTAAACTGATTCAAATTATGCAATGAACATCATTGGAACTATCTGCTATGATCACATTACATTTAACAAAGATTTTTATAAAGTTTGGATGTTTTTTAAACTTTGTTGAGTAATTTATATCATGTAAAAAATTGCATCATATGATAAAAGAACTTTTGTTTTGTTAATATAGTCTTAGGTATAGGAAAAAATTAAAATGACCTAGTGGAGGGACTAAAGTATTTAAAAAATGCTGCTAAACACAACAGTAATTAAAACAACTTTTTATCTAAAAGCAAAAGAGAAAAGGAGTACAGTGACGGGTCATATGATGAAACAAATTGATAATAAATCTATATCCAGAAAATATAATAAGCAGAAATTATATTTATAAATATTGCCCTGCTAGAAGAGATCCTAGACCTACATGCCCTGTTGTGCACAGTAAATAAATATAATAAAAGAGAGAAATATCTGGAAAACAAGTAATTAAGGAAGATCTATAGACAAAGAAATCAAAAATGACGTTAAGTAACTTTGGATATACTAGGAAATATTCTGGTTTAACACTAGACTGAAAAAAAGTTAATATCTAGAACATTTTCAAAATAGAAAAGAGAATAACTATATTAGAGATTCTTAATTGTTAAATGCTTGTATAAAATCAAGTCGAGAAATATATAATAGCAAAAAATACCAGTGCTGAAGGCAGAATTATGTGAAAAAAGTAATTAAGAGACATATAGAAAAAAAAAGACAAAGGAAAATGATGATAGATATTTTTGTTTCATATCTATCCATGACAAATTGATAAAGAAGTAAGAAATTAAGTAAAGTTATTGTGAATATAATACAATGTAGTCTGTTATTTAAAGATGTTCATTTCCAGGGACAAATGAACCAGTGACTAAAAAATATGAGAAAGAAAATACTATTGTTTTGATTTGAGACTGAAACAGTTGAAAGATTGTGTGTAATTGTGCTTTTTTGTTTCATATGCATCTATCACACACTGATTATGTTATAGATAATGTAAATAAACATACTAATATATGGATGACCAGCAACGTGTCTTAAAATGGTCACTTCTTGGTTAGTTGCTTCTAAAGTAGACATGTCATTTATGCCATCACTAGTGCTGAGATCAATAATTTTCGCAGCATACTCCTTTCCTGTCTCTTTCTCTATGCATCTTCTAACTGTGGAGGATATCCCCCTAAAAATAAAAAAAAATCATTACTCAATTGTTCAAAATATAACAAATACCTAAGTTGATTTGTCAAAAGCTTTAAATTACACTATTTCTTTTATTTATAATTAGAATGATTAACTCATGCCTGTCTTGCCTTGTTCTATAAGTCTGCCATTCTGATCTGTTCCTCCTTTAGTATTTTCAGGTGCTAGTATAACAATCCTGGCCAAAAAATTAAGAAGAACAGCTTCTGTCCCTTTACAATTAGAAAAACTTAATTGAAAATACATTATAAGGGTATTTGAAAACACCAAATATCTATTATGTCTACTATGGATTTAAAGAATAATTTTTTGCACAAATAAAACAGAACAGAAACTCAGTATAAAAAGCAAATACTAGAAACTAAGGTCCTGAAAAAAAGACTGCAAAAAAATTAAGATTAATTGATTAATAAATATCAAAAAGACATAGTTTACATATTCAATACAACTAAACGGCACACAGGGACTTCCCTTTGTTCTCATCCTTAATTATTTTTCTAGAATCAGATTAAAACCATCAAAAATGAACAAAAGCAAAAAACCTTTTTATGAAATTTCCCCTAATCATGAAGCTGAAATAATAACAATATCTCCACTGTCCAAGAATAGTACAAAAAGCATTCACAAAAACAAGCAAGTTAAAATAACAAACAAACCAAAATTATCATAACAAATAAATTCTAATCTATGGTACCCAAACATGGACTTTGACAAATTAAGAACAATGATATCCTAATCAAAGAGCAAATAGCAAAAGGAATGTGCAAACTTTAAGATGTTAAAGCAAAATACAAGTGACTGTCATATACAGATCAGAGAAGAACAGTGTGAAAGTATAACCACATATATTTAAAATAAAATGAAACAACAGCACATTTATTGTCACACATTAAACCTACGTTACGATCTATAACAAAGACCTAACTACTTTAGAAAATGTATATTCTTGAATATTGTCAAGCTCTTACCTTCCCAAAATCTCTTTCGGTTCATACTTGGCATAAAATTCTTTGGCAGCATCTTTGTCAGGTAGTTTATCGTACTCTTCCTCCTTGGCCATTTTTTACAGCTGCAGCTAATATATTATAAAATATTTAAACTGTACAATTTGAAATGTGACTAAAAATAAACTACCATGCCATGACTAGTTTACCCTTCCTTTGTCCTATGAAGGTTATTATTGTTAAATAATTGAATTTAATTTAACAATGTTGATAGATATCACATGTTAATCTGTCGCAATTTGATGTATATCGTTTTACTATGCTTTAAATCTAAAAAAAGTATATTTTAAAAAAATATTTTGACTTGACCTAATTTAAGACGTCATCTGTCACCAATTTGACAATGACAATTAACATATGGGTTCCGATTTCTCGAAGATATACTGAAAAATTGTATTTATGTATTTAATAAAGTTAAATTCGAGATTTTAAATAATTAGTTAATAATTTGCAAATTTAAAAAATAATTTACACCTTCTGGCAATACGAACTTACTTCTACAATAATGACAAATTACGTAAAATTGACATTGTAACTGACATTGACGTGTTGATAGTTTGGGAACGAATTGTAAAAAACGTACATAATAAATTAAAATACAAGTAAATATAAAAAGTCATTTAAATATTTAAACGTAAACAGTTGCACAAAACGTGATATAAATTAGTACATTTAATTTTATTTAAGTTAAAAGTGAATTACTTAAACTTTTCATAAATTATTATCGCAGAAAAAATAATTTTCTAACGGTGGATCAACAAGTTATTTTTTTAGTTACACATCAATTAAAATGGAAAACGTGAAACGAATAAATAGTAACTATTAAAGGTAACAGTTCAGTTGAATATGTTTTATCAATTTTTAGTGGCAATTTCTTTTATTATTTTAGTGTCTGTGATGCCCTCATATGCTGTGTTCAAATATAACAAATTATGTCTCGACAAGAAAAAGCCAAGTCCGTCACATTCGTGAGTACTATAATTATATTTTTTATAATTGATGGGTTAGTGTATTGGAAATTCTTTATATGCTTCGAATTGAAGGATGAATTAGATGTTATATCTTTTATATAAAAAGGAAGTGGTCACAGATAAGGATTGTACTCTTATAATAAGAAGTTAATAATATTTATAACAAAATTATAGTATATAATATAAATATGTATAATGTGTCTGGTTTAACATAAAAAATAATATCAAATATTGGTCCTTTGGCTATAGGAGTTAGAGGGTTACTTACTTGAATTGAGTACATTTTAAATTTAACATTATCCTTTTTTAGTACACATAATTTATATTTTCAATTAAAACTGGAATGATAAAACTTACAAAGGCTTTAAAAATTTGTATTTGTATTTTTGAAAACAAATGCTAGTTTCTTAAGGAAATTTGTATATTCACAGATTGGTAAAATATTGTTATATCTGCAATGTCAATGTTACATTCAAAATTCAGTGGTTTTTGTTTAATTTTTGAAATACTAAATGTTTAAACTTACATAAGAAATTGATTTGTGAAATCTTTTTCTTCGTTTTCATTTGCAAATGTATGTTGTAAACATCTTTGTTTAACACTTTGGAGATTTCATGATCATAGAACTATTCTGTCCATTGTTTAAAAGTATTAACAAATATAGTATAATTTGGACATCCTGTATATACATTTGTTGTTGTCCAAAATACCATCTATTACTGATTTATTCATTCTAGAGAAATCGTGCCTGTAGTAAGGAAAAACAATTTTTTTCAAATCTGTATAACTCCTGTAATATTGCTTGAATTTACTTCAAATTTGTTGTTCAAATTAAATTTTTTGAAAATACAAAACCCATGTAACCCCTTAAATTTTAATTTTCCTAAGTTTAACTGCATCTCTCTATGTGCATCTACATTTGAAATTATCATATAACTGCACTTATTCATATTAAGTGAGAGTTTGTGATACTTAAGCCACTCATCTATTTCTATTAAGTCCTTTTCTGTATCAGTGTCTAATTTTCTGGGATGTTTACAACAACTTGGATTGCAGCAGTAAATTGGATATTTAATTATAAATCACGAAAAGTGTTGGTCTTGTTATAGACCCTTAAGAAACTCCATATGCAATATCTTCTGCTGAGCTTAGCACATTGTTACATATCACCTTTTGTATTCTGCCATTCAAATAGTCCCTCAACCAAACTAAAGTCATTTCAGTTATCCCATATTGTTTCAGCACTAAAATGAGTATGTCATGGCTAACTGTATCTAAAGCTTCTTGCAAATCCAATGATACAAATATGCAATGTAACCCTTTGTTGTATATGTCTATAATTAAATCAGTAGCAGCTGAGATTGTACTTAAATCATGTCTAAAACCATATTGCCTGTTAAACTAGTAGCTGGATGAATCAAATAATTGTACAATTTGTTGATTTACATATGATTCCAAGATCTTTGACATGGATGTTAAAAGATATTTGGAGAATAACTTCCAGGTTGCTTTCAGTCCCTCTTTTATACCATGGTACCATTATAGCCATTTTTATAGAGTTTGGGGTTAATCCAGTGATAATAGAGAGGTTAACAAATTTATTTATAATCAGTAGCAGCTCAACTTTTTAATAATATCCACACTAAAGCCATAACAGTCTGCAGATTTTCCTTTTTTTGATATGATCTCTATATGGTTTTCTGAGACTTGTTGTCATTCGAATATGTATTTTCCTGGTTCTATATTTACTAGAGGTTTTGATGGAGGTGGTATGTTATTTGCCAAAGATTGTAGAATTATGATATTGTAACTCATAAATTGTTACTGTCTCTTTTGTATGGTTTGAGTTGTGGATAATATGATTTATTGTTTCATATTTTTCGCTATTGTTTTGTGTCTCTGATAATTTATTTAAGAAATAATCTTTTTTTGATTTAGCCACTGCATCAATTAACTCTGTGCAGATTTATAGGTTTCTGCAGGAACTTACTATTTGGAAACTGTTTATGCCTTCTATAGTGAAAATCTCGTTTTGAAACAAGGTTGTTTAATGTAATATTAAACCAAGCTTCACTGTTTTGTCAAAAATTCACACAAGGCATTAGGTTTACTCCAAATTTGATTTCCCAGAATGTTTATTTGACTTCTAACCTGCTCTTTGTTTATATCTGTTACTGTATAATATTTCTTGGTATACTACATGATGAGTTTACCAATTTTAATAACTGGATTTAGTGATCATCTCAACCATCACCCACTATATAAAGCTTAGCATCATAATTTAAGGTGTTGGTCACTATATAATCAATACAAATAGCTGAGAGGGACATAATTCTCTTAGGAACAGTTTTATTCAATATTGTAAAACCATTGGAAGTGATTGTTTGACTTATTAATTTTTATGGTAAACTCTCTTGGGTCAGGTCTATATTAAAGTCGTCAAATATCCAGGTTTTTCAAGGACATATCAAAAACCCCCAAAAGTTCATTGTGAAGGAAATCATGAGGTCTGTATATTTGATCCTGCGAGTCATGAAAACAGTGGGTGCCTCATTCCTTTTTAATAATTACGTGAAAAAATTATCACTTATTGTTCTTTGTGATATTGTAAAAAATTCAAAACAAGCAATTTGAAGAAAAAATGCTACCTTGATAAAGAAATAATATGATTGGGAAAACAGTATCTGAGGTGAAACATTAGGGATTTGAAGAACATTGAAGAAAAGTATTTTTCTCAGATGACAGCAATTTTTTGATACAAGGACAGCAATCTCGTGTTTTTAGAGTATCAAAGAAAAAATTATTGGTTTTCTGGGGCTGCTTTTTTGGGGATCCATTTTAATGATAGAAGGTATGATGAACTCAACTTGAAGGACAAAAGCATATCATACGTTAAAAATCTAGACTTCTTAAAATAGGTTGCACAACAAAAACAAGATGTTGCATGTCAAGTTGCACTATGAAGAGAACTATGACAAGAAATAAGGACAAGCGAAAAACATCCAAAACCCAGATGAGAATCACTACTTGAAATATCACATCACTCAACTCAAGGGACCAAGAAACAATATGGAGAAATAAAAATATCGGGAAAGAAACGAAAGGCAGAATTTACAAAATAGTCATCAGACCAATAATGACATATGCGCAGAAACAAGACCTGGTAAGGAGATAACAAAAAGGATGTTAGAAACAACAGAGATGAAAACAATTTATGGCAAGACACTATGGGATAGAGCTAGAAGTACAAATATACGACGTAGATGCAAGGTGGACAACATCAAGAACTGGGCAAGAAATAGAAGTGTAGAATGGAACGATCATATAAGCCGAATGACAACAAATGTAGTAGTAAAGACGGCAAGAGACGGTTCTCCAGTAGGAAGACCACAAAAACGATGGAACGACAACTTACTGGAGGCACATTGAAAAACAGACAGAGTCTATATAAAAAGAAGAAGAAGAAGAAAAAGAACAAAAACAAAGCGGAATAAGGCTGTGATCTAAATATGGTTTCGACACCAGCAAATATAAGAATGCTGTAAAAAAATTTGTTGATTTTATGTCAAAAAACATTTGAACAGTTATAAAAGCCAAGGGAGTGCGCATTTCTTTTTAAAGCATTTTAAATTGTATTATTTCTATTGTTTCTTCATATACATAGCTAATAATTATGTATATATTAATCCACACAATACTGTACCTGATATACTTACTATTTTACCATCGCAATCTAAATAAACTTAGTTTTAATTCACACAGTTATTGCATTTGTAACAAAAACCACAACAGAACACAACCGGGCACTGATTAATGCTCGTATGTCAACCGAGGACTTCATGTGACCTCCTTGTAGGTATTTAATTATCTTATCTTATCACCTTATTGAATAAACGATGATACCTACGACAATTGTAAATTTTTAGTGTCGTTTTTCTCTCATCGCGCGTGTAAATGGATTCGAAAAGTAAAGAAAAATCCGCGAAAAAGTCGATTCGCATGTCTTTTAGCAAAAAAAGAAACAAAACTATCGGAGCTGAGCTGCGTGTAAGTAAAAATATATATTTTATGTAAAATTTATCGATATCTGAGTGAATAAATTAGAACGCGAATTGATAAAAGGGATTATATGACAGTTGTATATAATGTCGTGGCATTGGGATAATCAAAATTTGTTTAGCTACATTGGGAAATACCTACAATGACTAAAGATAAAAGTATTCATCTAGGGAAGTAAGTTTTTCTCATAAATTAGAATAATTCACGTATCTGACTACTTTTTAGTCAATGTACCGATTGAAAGAAAATCTAAATGTAATATTGTTCCGCAATCTTCGGTTTATCGTAATGAAATCAACTTGGTTTCATATATAGCCTTTCTAAACGTTCATCTTGTAATTTCTATGTATAGAGGTTTGGGCAGCTTGTAACATTGTTTATAATTTTTAATCTGGCTTCCTGGCGGCAAAATTCTATTAGAAACGTCTGTCTCTTTCGTTCCGTTCACACAAACTTTATTATTCAGTCACATTCTCATTCAAAACTAAGCCTATCTTTACATTCTTCTTACTGTATAATACACGATGTTCACGTTCATCGGTATTGCTTGTATTATAGACTATAGAGTGTTTTTAAAAGATTTTGCTACAGCAAATTCTGTTTCATTTTTGACATCTATAATCACTGTTTCCATAATTTTTTCTGTCTTGGGTTGAAGTCCAAAATTGCTCTACTTTTTGAGACGTGTTTATGTTTGTCCAGTCACCAACATCAAAGATATCTGCAGGATATTCAAGAAATCATACATTCACGACGTCTAGACAGGTAGTGCAAAAGTACATCGATAATATTCAGAAATTGAGAAGAAAGTGCACTTTTGGGGATAATAATATTCCTAACATTTTGCAACTTGTTGATAGAAAATAGTCGAATGAATGATAAGGTATAATGAGTTGTTATTTGTTTACCGCATATATAATGAAATTTTAATTTTTATGCGCTTGATTTGATTACACGTTATCAGTGCATGTAGAAAAAATATCAGATAATATAGGGTCTTTAATTAAGAGATTCCAGACTTTATATTTAAGTAAAACAAATGTGTGAAAGGCCTCTCGATGGTATTATATATGGAATATAATGTAGTTCTAATAATAGTTTACTGAAAAATTTATTATTAATACGTGTCTCGTTTATCCTGCAGAGGTCCGTTAGAAGGGCTCCCTTTAATCAATCTGATTATATTATTGGATCATTTGCATCCCTTGTTATATATCATTGTCGTTAAGGAAGTATCGGTAGTGGTATCATTGTTATTCTCGGCTGCATGTATAGGGTATTTCAAAAAAGGTAACCCCGTCTCTAGGGTAGGTAAAAAACTGAAAAATAATTGGGGTTTGCTTAGTAAAAAATTTTTGTAACGCCATCCGTTTTCAAGATACAGGGCGTTGAAGAAAAAAAAATTACGCATTTTTTTACGATTTTGCCGAAACTACTGGCAACATTGTAATGAAATTTTATACGAATATGTTTTGGAAGCTGATACATCCCATGAATTTATTTTTATATCTGATTCTCATAGAGGGCGCTAGTTACACGGTTCGTACTATATATTAGTCAATATAACTTTTTTAAGAGTATAATTATTAATCAAAATTTCAAGTAAACTTAAACATCATTCAATTTTACACGAAAAAGGTACTCTTGGTAAAACTCGATACTGTGTACCGTTTTCGGAATATTTTGATTTGAAAATTATGAAGTAATAATTGATGCTGGTATAAAATAGTTAGTAAATTAAACAAAACTCACAAGAAGAAAATTAAATTAATGACTAAGAACATAAAATAAATTCAATTACAGTAAGTGTTCAAAATGCCCTCCGTTTTCGCGAATTTACAAGTCTATTCTTTTTTCTAAAGATTCCATTAACCTTCTAAACGGTAGGGGATCAGCTATGATGTCATTAAATTGACGTTGAATTCTTTCTTCCAATTCTTGGCGTGAATTTACCTCTGTAGCATAGACTTTTTCCTTAATATACGACCAAAACTGCGTAGTCCAAAGGGTTAAAATCGCATGACCGAGGAGGCCAATGAATCGGAGCTTCTGCACCTCTACCAATCCATCGATTCGGAAAATGATTACTCAACCAATTACGACACCTTCTATCAAAGTGTGGTGGAGCTCCATCGTGCATAAAAAATAAAGATCTTCGCTCATTTAGCGTTAAATCTTCTAATATCTCGAAAAGGAATTGTTTAAAAAATCAAGATACATATCACCATTTAAATTTCCAGGTAGAATATGATAACCTATTAATTTGTTACCTAAAGTTGCTGCCCAAACATTAACTTTAAATGAGTGTTGGTAATGTGATACCCTTTTGACTCGTGGATTCTCATCACACCAGTAGTGTGCATTATGGGAGTTAAACATACCTTGTCGCGTAAAGGTGGCCGTAAAAAGAATGCATTTTAAAAAATTTGGATTGTGGGCTGTCCTTTGTTGCAATGTTTCACAAAAATCCACTCTAACCGGTAGATCATTTGGCAAGAGCTCTTGGACTTGTCTGTAATGATAAGGATGTAATTGCTGTTCTTTCAGTATCCGCCAAGTACTTGAAGAAGAAGTATTTGTTTGTCTTGCTATATTCCTTACGCTAACTGTTGGATCTTGATCAAGTAAATTTAAAATATTATTTTCTTTATTAATTGTTCTTGTTGTTCTTGGTCTACCAGAATTTATTTTATTTGGTCTCACAATCCAGTTTCTCGACAACGTCGTTTCAACGGCTCTAATGTTTTTTTACTTGGTAAGTTTCTTCTAGGAAACTTTTCTGCATAACGTGTCACAGCTGCACTAGAACATCCTAAACATTCGCCTAAGGTTAATAACATGTCAGTGTATTCAACATTTGAGTACATTTTGATTTGATTTTACAATAACAAGGTTTCAAAACTCTAATTATTGTTGATTTATCGTCATAACAATCAATAAATGTCAGATTTCCATGGCACACTTGGAGAAAATAGAGGTATACCTATTTAGAACTTTATCATTACTACCAGCATCAATTATTACTTCAGAATTTTCAAATCAAAATATTCCGAAAACGGTACACAGTATCGAGTTTTACCAAGAGTACCTTTTTCGTGTAAAATTGAATGATGTTTAAGTTTACTTGAAATTGTGATTAATAATTATACTCCTTAAAAAAGTTATATTGACTAATATTTAGTACGATCCGTGTAAAATTCGATAATAAATAAATGGGAGCGTGTTCAAAAAAGGCTGACACGTCGATTGATATTTAAGTTGCGAATTTTTTGCAATAAATCTTTTCATACAGGGTGTTTTACTGTATATTCAATTTTTGGACTCCTCAGAATATTCTAGACATATATTATGTACAATGTCCTATACCCATCTTCAACTGCTTCTGAAATATTAATTGTTTTCAGATTTGTTGCAAAAAGTATCATAAAAAAAGAAAATGATCTAAGTAAAGAAATTTACTACAATTTGCACTAAAAAATTAATAAGTAATACTGTTTATTTCTTGATAATCGTAAAAAAAACAAAATCAAATTCATTTTAAATTTAGGGATATTTTAAAAATGTTCGCCGACTGTCTTGGCAACATGCGAAATCTTAAATAGACATTTTTCTAGTGGTTAGTCAACATCCCAGGTGTGATCAATCTAATCTAAGGCGTTAGTCATCTTCTTAAATCAGGCTTACGTCGTGGGAAAGTTTTGTTTTGTATATAATTATTTTGTAACCGTTTCCCCATAAGAAGAAGTTCTTGATGGTGTCAGGATCCGGGGGATTGTGTTTTTACTGCTTGGACCATACCATCGATCCTTCCACTCCCTATCCATCGATTTTGAAATATTCGAAATCAAGGCACTGGTTATAAAATTGACAGTGGTTCCTTTTGGAATAAGATCAAAGCATTAAGATGACAAAATGTGAACAGATATATTTGTAGTAGATTTGAATAGATTTTCCAATGATTTTCACTACATCTAAAAGGTTGAATTGTGTCCAAAATTTAACAGAGAGCTTATTGTTTTTTTTATAACATCATACAGGTGTGCAAATGATCGTTTAGTGTAATAAACTTTAATGTTTAGCAAAGATGGTTGAATTTAAAGATTGTGCACTTTCACAACTTCGAGAATTTTTTCTTTGTCCTTTATAATGGACAATCGACGAGATTGGAAAATCGCGTAACTCTAGGTTCCCGTAAGTTGAGGTATTACTGTATAAATTAAAATAATAAGGGATACATTAAGAGCCGAAATTAAAAAAAAACCTAGGAAGTTTAGATTAACAATTAAATCTTGTAAATGACATCCGTAGGTGTCGAAGAAGAAATAGAAAACAAAAAAAACCTTGCTTTAATGGAATTATTGTATGATATATTATGTTTCAACGTTACAAACAATAATCTGCAGTCAACGATGTAAATAAATTTCTTGTTTTTAACAAATATTTAATGTGGGTTTAAACACATTAAAGAACTTTTTTAGATGTGTGCAGTTGCGTCATTTCGTATTTTAGAAATGACACAGTTGTTCTTATGGTAATTTTATAGATGCAGATGCTGTAATCAGGACTGTATGATTCATACATTGTAGTCGCTTTAGAGGACACCAAAAACCAATGTTATTGTATACTTCGAATATGTGCATATTTGATGGTTTTTATTTAAATATGTATCGGATTCAATATTCAACATTCAGCAACCGTTAAGAAACGTTGGAATTCATTTGAATAACTATTTTATAATTATAGAACTCTGGAAACTTATACCAGGAC